TAGACAAAGAACAAAACGCATGGGACGTTTAAAGATTTAAAACTTTAAAAAAACATTTAAAAAATCTTGAAACAATTAAATAAGTTTTCTAAATAATTTTTCAAAACAGAAGAAGCAATAAAACACTTTATATAATTTTTCAGTAATTTGCAATAATTTTTCAAAACAAAATGCAGCTGAAACCAGATTTGAAAATTACATAATAAGAAAAGATATCAAAATAAATGAAACAATTAGAAAATACACTTACAGTGGAAAAACGCGCAATGCAGCAGAAATTCCGAAAGGAAAATAAAACCGAAAGAATAAAGAAAAACAATGAATAATGAAAAAGAGAAAAAAATGACAGCTGAACCTTATTTCGTCAGGGGGTACCAGCCCCCGGAAGTCATAAACGCGAAACCTTTTCTATCGAGAGAGCACGACAAATGTTTAAGTTGCACTCTCTGTACCCCAAAAGTTTTGCCAAAGTCCAGGTAGAGAAAATACAATACAAAAAACAAATACAAAAGCATAAAATCTAAACTAATACAAAAGAATACAATACTCAAAATCTTACTTGAAAACAAATTCAAAAACCAGATTACACAATTGACTATACCAAGCATCAACTAAATTGAAATAAACGAAAAAACAACGCCCGTAATTTAATGCACAGAAGGAAGAAAAAGAGCAAGAAAGTAGTTGCCAACATTAATAGAAATACATAACCGGGGCAACTCGGGCAAGACTTGATCAGGTACTATTAAAAGAAAAAACGGAACTAATAATTTTCAATCATTTTCTTAATTTTAAATTCAATATTACAGAAATTAAAAGGAAACGTAAAATGTCAATTTATTTGTTTTATCCTAATTAGTTTAAATCAAAAGAATCAAATACACAAGTGTCCTCCTCTTCTTTGAATTTAAGACTCGTGGAGCCATTTTACTGATATAATAATTCGATTAAATCGTATACCCAGAATTTGTGGAGTCATTTTGAGAATTTTGAGTCATTTTTTTGTTCATGACGTCTTTATGTTGTAGGTAAAGGTTCGTTGAACATATAAAATAAAATAAACCTTTAAATGAATAATATATTATAAAAAATAATAATTTAATAAAAATAAAAGTTAACTAATAAAGAAAAGCGATTGTTTTGTTTTAAAACATTCCAAAAATTTCAACAAAAAAAAATTATGTATCGAATTACCCGAAGCTTTCCTTCCCCTCTTCAGCAGCATAGCATTCCTTCCTGGGGAATTTTTGATAGAACTAACCCTCAATTGCGTTACATGATGAAGAAAACCACAAAAACATCCCATGGTCAGTCTGGCGGCAAGAGGATTCTAACCCATGATCCGTCTACCACTGAAGATATTTTACATCAGCACTGTGGTCGGTGCGAGACTGGTGCGGAATTCGTATCGACCAGCCACCGCATATAATTGATCAAATAATTGAACTGCAAGATAATTAAGCTGAAAGTACTTATACAATTAGACCCCAATCAAACAAAATAATTAAATCTGGATCCACTTCAGATGATCAAAATATTATTATTATAGAGGTAGCAACAATTTTTAATCTACTTTCATCAATGGATTTTTGAATTTTCAATTTTTTATGATTTTTCTATATAGCATTTAAATTTAATTTTAAAACGACTATTTAATGAATGTTTACCAAAAATGTTTAAAGATATTTTGTTTTAAACTACACTTACACTATTGCCCTAGATATCGCTATAGTTACTCATTTTAACAAACCATTTATATCAGCATCTAATTCTGAATCGTTTACCGATTTCACTCATTTCTTTATTGATTTGTATTCGTTTGGAAACTTTATAATGCCCGATACCATTATTATATTTTTTGTACAGTTAACATAGCACTTTTCTGTGGCAGTGGTAACAATAGTGGCCAAGCTACACTGTAATTACCTCAAAAAAGCCATATAAAACAAGACAAATTTCAACTTTCACGCGTTATATATATCACGTATATACACCGAAGAGCCATTACATTATGACCACCCTTACAGACGTCAGGGATTGTTCTATGAGGACTATGTTCCTGGGCGAGAGAAACCATGAAAACCTGGGCGAGCCCATTGTTATAGATGGAGGGTGGTCATAATGTAATGGCCCTTCGGTGTAAATCACGTATAACTGATAATGAATAATTTATTATTAACAGATAATAAACAATCACTAATAAATAATTTATTAGTGATTCAAATGGAGTGAACAATTCAATAGCCATGAAGTGCAGAGAGTATTTTTTATTGCGAAGGTCTCACATGTATGTTTGATTTATGACAGCATTTTATTGAAATCGAAAAAAGGAGAAAAGAAAACTGCGTGCGCGTGTAAAAGGAAAAAAAAAACTTCGGATTGACATAGGTTTGTATAAATATTTGGATAATCGAGGTACTACTGCATTTCGACGTAAAGAATAGGAAGGCATGTCGTAAAAATTAAACAAAATATCAAGTATTCTTTAAATAACCGGTAGTTTGGAAATATATAAATTTTTTTCTTTTACAATACAAAAAAGATTATATAAGTTTTTAACTTCGGAATGTTTTTATGAAGTATTCAACAAAAAATTAAAGTGTTTTTTTTTTCTTTTATTATACCTTTTACAGAATCGCTAAAAATTGAACTTAGAAATTATTGTTTCTCGACAGTACTATCGAATAAAACACTCGATCAAATTATTTATATTAAACCGATTACGATTATTTGCTACTACAATTTATTTGTGAAAAACATTTTTCAAAAGTAAATATATTTTTATTTTGTTAGAACATCTTATATAAAGAAATTATTTTAAATAGAAATAAATCACTTTGATTTGACTTTTTGCGAACTTAGTCACGAAAAACGTGTAACATTTCACGCTTACGGAATTTACTGTCCTTATATTTGTTATATAAGCAGTCTTAAAATAACAGGGTTGCAAAACAAATATGTATTGTCAGCGTTTATTGACGAGTAGTTGTACGGCAGAATTATTTTTTACACTCATCATTTTCAAGGTGAACCATACGTTATGACGAGACTTTGTCATATGTGAGAAAAACTTAAAGGAAACATATACCTTAAATACTAAGATGAATATTTCGGATAAATACAATAAAAGCGAAATAATCCTTTACTGCTATATATCTACTCTCAGCCACCAAAGCTGTTTTTTACTGTTCTAATTGTATATGCACTCTCAAGCACCAAAGCTGTTTTTTACTGTTCTAGTTGTATATGTGCTTTCAGTAATCAAAACTGCTTTTTACTGTTCTAGATATATTTGTGTTCCCAGGCACCAAAGCTGTTTTTTACTGTTCTACTTGTATATGTGCTTTCAGTTACCAAAACTGTTTTTTACTGTTCTAGATGTATGTGTGTTATCAGGCACCAAAAGCTGTTTTTTACTGTTCCAGTCATTTGTCTGCTCTCAACCACCTAAGTTGTTTTTACTGTCGTTGTAGGCGTGCTCTCAGCCACCAAAACTTTTCAACCGTTTCAGTTGAAAGTTTGCTCTCAGCCTTAAGGTTTTTGTGCAGTTCAAGTCGAATGTTTGTTCAAAAATTCTCAATNATCTGAGGGAGGTTTAAACAGCTTGGTGGCGTTCAAGCGGCCATTCAAATAGTGCGCTTTAGACGGTAATTCAAATTACAGCTTACTAAGAAATAAAGGTGGCCGGTGCTTAATGCTTACCTCATTACCAGTATCCTGATATTAGTCTCGAAGTTTTTATCTCTTGAGTTCATAACATTCTTGACCGACAATTCGTTGACGAGGTAGAGTTTTACCTATGATGTGTAATTAGCGTCGTAAATTTACAGTTTAATACAAATGCTTTAATTAAAAACCATAGTCATTTTTAAAAACGGAGGACACTGAAAAAGGTTAAGACTGAAGACCTGAAAACCATTTATTCGTTAACCAACCAACGTCTTGTATTTTAATGCAATAGACAGAGGTGTGATCGGGATTATTTACATTCTTAAAAACATGTCAATTTATTTTAAAATATAAAAATTGGCAAATCTTACATAGAAAGTAAATAATAAATAATAGCTGAAACAAGTTTCACCTCAGACATTACCGTTGATATGCCAGTTTATGAAAGTAAACATTGAACAAAAATATGCAATAGATTTCAAAATGTTATATAATTTAATAAACAGACGTATTAGTTATAAATTATCAGAATGTTTAATTCTTTCATACTAATTTATCCGTTACTATTATATGATTAAATACTTCCGTTTTTAGAACTTTAATATTATGTAATAGAGGAGCATATTTTTATAAGTAAATCCCATAATAAAAACAATAGAGTAAATAGACAATGAGAAATGTACATTAGAGCAAATTTAATTAGTATTTTCACAAATATTACGCGAAAGAATTTATGAGGAAGCAAAGATATAGTTAAAAGGGTGATTAAAAAAGATGATAATGCATAGAACGTATTTACATGAAATAACACTCAGCTGTAATATCTGGTCTCAAAAGCTTTTCGTGTCTTCTTTAAAACTTGGTTGTGTAAGTCTTATTTTGTAAACAAATAGATATTTAGAAATTTTCGAGCGATAATTCTTTAAAAAGCAATTCTTTTATTTTATTTTTTTTCTTTTGTTCAACCATTTGAAAAAGAATTGCATCAACAAAGCTTTGCAGAGTATTTTAGAGAAGTTATAATTAAATTTTTTTGCTAAATTGGAAAATTAAAAGCAAAAAAAAAAGATAAATTTTTATCAGTAGCTGAATTTTTTTTCCTACCGAAAACGTTAAAGACTTTCTAAATAACCCATTTTGAAAAACATTTGATAAAAAAGTAGTTGATCCTTTACAAGGTTAAATGTCACCATTTATTGCTTCTCAATGTTATGTCATAACGAACAACTGTTTGAAAAATTGTCCGAATTTTTTGTTTTATGCGACATCATTTTTTTTTATTTATTTACTCCGTATATCCGTAAAGAAATCGATGGATTTTATGTCTAAAACACTAAAACTTAAAAGCATATTAATTTTATTTGAAGAAGATAAATATAGCTTAAATATTGTTCGATATTTTGTTACTGTGCCTTCTCGTGATTTTTGTCTAAGATGTTATAGAAAGAAAAGAACAAAAAAAAAATAAGTAACGCACAATCATATATTGCTGAAAATGAAGTCTGCTATTACTCGAAAGGTGTTAAGTAAGTTTTTTTTTCTTACATTATTCTGTGTTCTTATCATCCGGCTTTTGATCATTAAATTTATGTGTAGAATATATATCATTCTAAATTTTTCCATGAATTTTTCTAATGCTTTTAGTTTAAAATATAGATAATAAAAATTAACAAATCAGTTTTTAATGATATCAGAGAGGCATAAGTTAATCCAAAGTTTTGTTTGTGATTTATCACTTTAAAATTCATGAATCATCTAACGATACTGTAAATTTTTTTACAAATGTGCAAAATCAACTAAGTGACGAAGTTTTTATTACTTTATATCGTGCTTTTATAGTTCTCAAAAACTTTTAAATAACATTTTTTTTCTTTTTGTATGAATACATCAAATGAATAGGAAATTACAATACTGTTTAGCGTTTTTAATTATAATTATAATAATTTCTATTACGTATTTCAAATTAATACATAATTTTTACAGCTAAAATTAATCGAACTATAACTGCTTTTACTAGAATAAATTCGTAATTATCTTTATAATTTGAAAAAATAATATATAAAATTAAAGTATGCAGTTTAATACAACTGCTATGTGTCTCTCAAACTGTTTAAAGATTCAGGTGTCCTATTTTTCTGCTTTATCTTAACTCTATGAGGAATTGAGAATTTTTGAACAAATACGAAAACAATTTTAAAAATCCGATTTTAAACTAATTAAACTTGTACTATTTAAACTAACTACAATAATTTTCCATAAAATAAAAATCCCTTAGTTCACGATTTTCGTCAGTTATATCAACTAAAAAAATCACCTGGAATTCAATTCACTACATTCGGAGACATATGAGCCAGAAATTGATTAGTAAAAGAGCAAACAGCGAAAAATCGAAAAGAAATAATTAAGCGATAATTTGGCTCTAACAGCGATTCCCATTTCACTCCTATTGAGCAAAACTTCAAAATGTAAGTATTTACCTTTCTTTTATTTAGTTTAAAGTCCTAATATTTGTATTATTTTTGAACATTTATTTTATTTAGATTCTTAATAAATGTAAAAATTATTAATCTTGCAGTTATTTACTATGATATACAATCCAGTGTTATTCACTTGTGTATTACCCACCGTACTGTCGAAAACGAGTCTGGCAAAAGTACCAAACTGTATGGAAATGACATTTCCGGAAAAAAGAAATTCAGGTTAATAAACTAAAAGGAACGGTATTTAAACCATTATTTTGGGTAATTTTTCAGTTCATATGGTAATGATTTCTCCAAAATTCTGGTTTTCAAAATTATAGTTTTTATTCCCTCACATTTAGTAAATAATACAAAAGTAAAAAGTAAATTTCACCAGATAAATGGTTTTAATACCATGCTCGAAGACTCGTGATAAAATTACTAAGTTTTATCACAGAGTATAAAACCCTATTTGTCTGTTATACACGTTTATTTTACCAAAATCATTACCAAAGCTCTTCGGTAAAAATTACAGTTCTTTTTGGTGTTCCCTCAAGGCCGGAAACATGTAAATTTTACTATATTCTTGTAGCCATTTATTTTCTCGGTGCTTGAAATTAATTCTCTTTATTCTCCCCGGAAGTAATACAAACTTCATTATATACGCGATATGCTTGTGGGTCTACAGTACGATATACACTACCCTACAATGATGGAAGAAGTACTTTCAGTTTTTGATACTTTTTTAAATTAAGACCGTGAACTTTGTACTTTGAGAACTTATTTGTAACTTTAGAGTTGTTTAATTCATGAGATTTTTCTTACTTTGCAATAAAGTTTTAAGCTCTCAGAGGTTTGAGAGACTGACTATAAATTGCAAAAGAAAACAAATATTTCTGAACTCCCTATGCCAGGAAATTAGGCAATAAACTTGTAACTTGTATCCATTACTTTGGTGGTTATTTAAAATAACTGCATAAAATTTCGCAAATCTAGTTTAAATATTAAAGGACATAAGAACATATTTGTAAAATCAACTAATTCTTTTCTTCTTTTATTTTTGCTGTAACTTTAAAAATACTCAGTGGAATTAAAAAAAATTTTTGGAGCAATTTAAAATTAATTACAAAATTATTGTTTCAAAATTCGAAATTTTTTTAAAGAAATGCGCAAGATATGAGTATTTATAGTAGTTCTTCTATACTGCGCATGCGCGAAAAAATTATTTTTTTCACTATTTTGTTGTAAATCATATTTGGCAACTAATGAAAAAAAATCTGATTTAAATGTCTTGAAAGAGTAAAGGAGTATTGTACGGCGACCCAGGCAATGAAATGCCCATACGCCAATTATAAAGATGCCTCGCCGCTACGAAAGAACCCACCAAGCACTTGAGGTCAAGCAGAAGGTGGACTCTCAGGCACAAGGCCCCGAGCCACGCACGAGGAGAGCACCACAATTTGCGTCGGATGGCAAAGGAGCCAGGGAAGAACGCCATGAGTGTGAGGCCGGAGTGAAAGCGGAGACGTCGAGTCTCGGCACCAGCCTGGGTCGACAGCAGTGGCGCAGCCACCCACCGGGACATCGAGACCCCCAGACCAGAAGGCCCGCAGAGCCTCCAGCACCAAAACCATGCTTTATTAAAAACATCAAGACACAAAAATTGATAAAACAATTAAAATTCATAAAACAATCGGGCAATGGCCCGCAATGGGTGTTACATGAGTCAAAATCACATGCCCAAGGGCTCACAATTCAGGGATGACGAAGTTAGAATTGAGTTCTATATCGAGTTCTTTTCTAGATCATTGTTTTGGCAAACTGAACGGAGGGGCACCCTGGACTGAGAACAGAGTAAAAGAGTAAAAAGTTAAAAAACTTAAACCTTAAAAGTTACTTAAAGGAGTAAAAAGTTTCAAGCAGTTTTCTAAGCATTTTTTGCAAATTTCATTCGAAAGCTGAAAATGATAAGGGTTTTCCCCAAATTTTGTCATGTAATTATCTATTACATTTTTAAAACTGGACAATACGATTAAATGCGTGGAAATTTCCTTATCATTTTGAACTTTCCTTTCAACAGTACAAAAACTGCTTAGAAAATTGCTTGAAACTTTTTAAGTCTTTAAGATTTTTAAATCAGACTTTTTCCATTAGTTGTTAAATACGATTCACTATAAAATTATGAAAAAATAATTTTAAATTTTTTCCGGCGCATTCACAGCATAAAAGAACAACTATAAATACTCATGTCTTGCTGATTTTTTTAACAATTTTTGTTCATTAAATTTTAAAACAATAATCCTACCATGTTATTCATCCTATATAGGGTTTCAATTATAAACATAGTGTTTCTTTCATTTTAGATAAAACAGAAATTATAAAGATACTTTAGTCACAGTTATCCGAAGTAAGAAAGACTACAGTTTTTTCAATCAAAATGCCTGAAAGGAAAAATTCCTATGACTTGCCGATCTCAACAACGACCCTTGCTAATGGAACAAATCCTCATTCAAAACAAGAAGAGCCTGTAATAAAAGTTTACAGAAGACGTTACTGGATGCTTTTTGTTTTCAGTTTTCTTTCAGTGCTGTGTGGAATGATATTTCCTCAATATGTCTCCATTGCAGATGTGAACATATGTTACTATGACATATCAACAAGCACACTGAATTGGACTGCTAATATTTTCTTTCTCGGTTACGTGATTCTTGTATTTCCCGCCTCGTACTGCATGAATTATGTAGGTCTGAGATGGACGGTGATAGCTGGAGCGTTGAGCAATACTGCAGGTAAGAATATTTTCGCAATTAAATTTTATAATTAATTTTTTAAAGTACCTTTAAAAATACCTGAGATATCAGTCCACTTATTTTAAATGCTGAAAATCACTAATTATACTTAGCTAATATGTTGTTGTTGTTGTAGCTCATTTACGTAGCACTAGAGCAGCACTATGGGCTATTGGCGACGGTCTGGGAAACATCCCTGAGGATGATCCGAAGACATCCCATCTCAATTTTGATCCTCTGCAGAAGGGATGGCACCCCCGCTTCGGTAGCCCAACGATCTGCGCGAGAAGTCGAGCACTTTAAGGTAGCACAGTTTAACGAGGACAATACCGCACACCCTCGGTCCCTACTCAGACTGATCCAAGTGGGTCACCCATCCGCACACTGAAGATTTATTTGTTTAAAAACAATCAAATTCTATCAAATTATTATACTTACGCGCATTAAATAAATTTTAAAAAAAAAACTAACTTTTAATAATAAAGTTAAATACAAAATACCCGTATTAAATTGTATCGCTTAAAATAAAAAACAATAAAAAAATAAAAAAACGATGATGAATTTTTTTATATTCATATTTTCTTTTCATTAATAGCTCAGAACGAAAATTCAAGATTACAGTGATTGCGCAACAATCGCCATGTAACAGTAGATCTACTAAAAATAATTGACAAGAATCGTTAAATCCCGTCAAACAAAAAAAAAGAAGAAAATGACAAAATAATGCGCAATAAAACGATCGCTAAGTAGCAAAAGTCTCACAGAAAATAATTTGCAAGAAACGTCAAATCCCGACCAAATAAAGTGCACAGCAATCACAAAATAACGTAAGTCCAGCTGAAAATAATCTTCAAGAAAAGTTCTTCAATAAAAGTTCTGAAAATAATCTTCAAAAATGGTGCATAAAGAAACTATGCATAGCGTTCTATTTCAACGCTGATCCTCGCACGAAACCAAGAGTTCTGTTTCAATTCACTTTTCGTTAAATCAAAATAGTCTTCTTCAGCGTGCTGGCAGCGTTAGCGTAGACAAGGATTCTCACATGTTAAATTGTTTTATCGTTAAACTGCGAGCGTTGTCTTATATGACGGCTTCAATCAGATTTCTGATGCATCGCCTAAAACGAGAGTCACTCTCCGCAGCTTAAATCAAATTCCTAAAACGAAAGTCATTATATCGGTCTGCCGATATATGCATTAAATCGATATTTCGCGATGCATCGATTTATAGCCCAGTCTTAGTGCTAACCGTAGGAGGTTTTGCCTCCCCATGTAATCCGAATGCTGGTTAGTTACATCAAAACAACCTTCACTAAGTAGAGTTTATTCCAACACTTAATCTAGAAGTCACCTCATTATCTTCTAGGTTTGGTTCCTGTTTGAATATTGATAACGACAAATCAAAATTGTATTTTTGCTTTTCAATGCCGGTGATAAAATAAAATAATTAAAAGAACGCAATAGGAACCTAAATAAAATGAACGTTAAATTTAGATCGAAACTAAGAATTTGCATCGAAAAAAGTCTTGTTCGTTAATATAATATAATAAACGGAGATCAATTTAACACCTTAGTAAGATTGCAACAAGCTTAAACCGTATCATGGGATTCGTGATGAATCATAATATTACTCAAATATGCTTTAATATGAAACTACGTTTAACAAAATTAGTGTAAGTTTTAAGCTTGATTACACAGTACTATGGCTGAATGGAAACATAGTTTAATTTAGCACCTTAGTAAGATTGCAACAAACTTACATCATAGTCTGTTTCATTGCTTCTGAAAATGTAGATGGAAGCAATTCCGCAATGTGAACTGAAACAGGTACTAATTGATATAACTAAAATGCTATAAAAGGATTCTTTAACCGTATTGTGGGTTTCGTGATGAATAATAATATCCCTCAAATACGCAGAAACCATAACTAAAACTACTGAAACTTAAACTACGTTCAACCAAATTAGTGTAAATTTTAATCTTGATCATACAGAACTTTGACTGAATGGAAACGTGGTTTAATTCACAACCTTAGTAAGATAGTTACAAGCTTACACCATTGTCTGTTTCATTGTTTCTGAAAATGTAGATGGAAGCAATTCCGCAATATGAACTGAAACAGGCGCCAATTGATATAATTAAAATGCTGTAAAAGGAGTCATTGAAAACTTCATTAAAAATTACAGCAATATATTATCTATTCTTTACTCTGAAAAGTTAGAGAATTCTCCTTAAAACCTTTTGATATATTTCATGCATGAAAATGCAATGAAAATCAGAATACTTTTATCTTTTAAACGTAAACCTAATTTTTTAAAAACAATGTGCACTCTAATGTCATTGAATTAGAGTTAGCAAAATTTACAAGTGGAGACTATGAAGCTCATGTGGTAAAATGAGAGTAAACAGATCCGTTTACCGACTTTAAAACCACAGAGAAAGGAAGCGGATTTAGGGATAGAAAATGCTATTTAAACTAAGCAACACTAAGCCTCATTTATGCGAAAGTGAAAAAGCTCTGTAGTAACTGCATATGCAGTTAGTACTGCGACTGTTATTACAGTTGTTTCAATGTCACAGCATGAATAAAACTTTTGAATTAGACGCATTAGATCTTGGACTTATTGTAGGCGCTGGATGCCTAAGTCATTCTATTTCCAAAATCGTAAGAGAACTAGAATTTTCGAAGTCGGCGGTGTCCAGAGTATATCAAGAATTCAGGAACGGTCAGGAAAAAACTATCGATTGGACAAACATCAATTAACAAATAACAATATATTTCAAGGAGCACGGTGAATGTTGCAACTGTAAGCACGATTGTTCGTAGAGAGCCGTATTGTACGCAGTAGGGAAGACAAACGTTTGATTAAATTGGCCACCAACTAAATCAGGATGCTAATCGCAGAGTATGCGAACTGTCCTAGGAACACTCATTTCACCGTATGGGCTTTTGGAGAATAGACCCAACTTGCAATTTACTTGCTACTCGTAATTTCGTGGAACTTTGGGGAATTTTCCTTTTCTTGTTGCTACCCTAAAAATCCAATTTCAAAAATTTTAGTACTCAGAACTCATTAAAATACTGTAATAACAAGAATACATTCTCTTTTAATTGTTAACTTTATTGTCATTTTCCTTTCAGCTTGTGTTTTACAGTTCACGGGACTATCACCTGAAAATTTTGCTTACATTTTAGTCAGTACAATATTTGGATCCATGTCTAATCTCTTAGTGTTAGCTGTTCCTCCATTCTTGGCAGCGACATGGTTCCCAACAAATGAGCTTTCCAGAGCGTGTGCTGCTGGAGTATTTGGGAATCAGGTACCTTACAATAATTATTTCTTCATTTTTTTAATAGTTTCTTTTTTGTTGTCCCCTTAAATTTGGGCTAATTATTTAAAGTTTCAAAACGAAACTTACTAAGTTGTGCAAGTCAGAGGCTGAACTAGATCAGTACTTCACCATCAATGACATCAATTTCAGTTTGATTTACTCCTATTGAGCAATTCGTATTCTGATCCCAATACAAACGTAATCTTATTGGTTACATCTGTAACTGGTTGATCATTGATGGGTTTTTAGACGACAGATGAGTGAAATGACGTTATCTTAGACATCCCTATCGAAATTTCTTATTTAATACCATACTTAACCGTAACTCTAGGCTTTTGCATTGTGAAAGGCAAAACTTGCAATCAAAATTTTAACTACTTTCATAGCAGCTGGAGTGCTCAAATTTCAACTAGAGATCTGAGGAGTCGGGGGACTTTTCACGCTCTAATTGTTTTCTAAGAAGTATAAGCAAAATATCTTGCCCTTTACCAAACCGATCGAATTTATCTCTAATCATAATTCGATCTCTTTCCAACATAAACAAAAATGAAGAAAATAATTAAAACATTTTATAAATCACGTTTTTTAATTGAAAAAAAAAGTTTAAAATAATATTATTAACATATCTAAAATGGAAAGCGTTAGGAAATTTTATGTACATTAATGGAAACTTCAATAAAATTACTCTATATTTTTTAGGATATGAAAAAAATGGATTACTTCTCTAAGTCCGTTTAAAAACGAGATTTTACCTATTTTAATTTATTTTTTCATACCTCTCAATTTTATTATTTCCGTGCATGATGTTTCTCAATCACAAATCATGCTTAAAATTGAATTTACTAATTCTGTACCATTTCGTGTTAAATGCTATCATAAACTATTAAAATAAAAATAAAAATAAATTACATGAATTTCATAAATTTACATAAACTTCGTGTAAGCGCCTTAAATCACATTACATAAATTTCTTGAAATGAGCAAATTCCAGAGATGCTCCAATTAAATTTTATGTTAATTTGATTTTCTTGATTTTTTTATTTCCATAAATAGTGCTTCTGGATGGCTTATGCTTTAGCTTTTACGATTCTAAATTAGTTGAGACATATGTTAAATATAGTTCTAAATTCTTGAAAAACATTTCTCGCACATTATATTTAATGAGTAAAAGCTTTAAACACAATTTTTTTATTACATTTTAAATTAACAGATTCCAGAAAGAAAAGTCAGTTAACTTTATACGGTAATTTATTTCATGCTCAACTTCACTTTTAAAATTAATAAACGACATCTTATCGATGTTATATAACATTGCTTTGAATACCTTGAAAATTAACTTCAAAGAAAACTGCCAAAAAAATTGAAGAGCTCCATACAGCTAATCAATTTAAAAATTGCTAGAAAGTTATGTGTAAGAGTACAACTCCTATACATTTTATTGTATCATACAAATACTGTTACATATTTACAAGAAAAATTTTCATTAATGCATTTTTATTGATAAATTATTACGATAAAAGATTAAAAAACACAACAAATAAAATAACATCGCATGAAATATTTAAAAAAAAACACATTCTGTTAAAATTACCGCACTGCATGGTAATGACATTTTCTAGTAAAAAAAAGCATAATTTTGATTCAAAAAACTAAAATATATTGTTCTAACCATTCCTTTAGTAATAGCCGGTAATGGTAATAGTCATAGGTTCGTTTACCGGAAATTCTGGAATTCAAAATTATAATTCTTGTTACCAAACATTAACAAAAATACAAAACTGAAAAGTAAATTTATCCGAATAACTGGTTTTTATGCCATATTTTATGATATTACCAAATTTTATCGTAGTTTTTAAGTACCAAATCAAAATTACCAAATTTTAAAACCTATTATAAAACCATAATTAATGATTAATTTTACCAAAATCATTATCAAATCGCTTTTTTAAAAAAAATTGCGGAGCATTTTGGTGTACCATTAGAGCCCGAAACACGATAAATTTCACAATATTCTCGTACTGTTGACCAATTTTTTTTCTCAGTGAATAAAAAATCATTTCTCTCCTGTTACACTGTAAAAAAGTTTGACGTATTCTTGTTGTTGCATTTGACGAATGCACTTGACGCATTTTTGTTGTTGAGGTAAACTAAAATTACACTTTTATTTGATTTTTCACTGCTCTAGTTTTATTTATTTATCTTTTGTTTGTTCATTTCATTACTGACAACTCATATTCGCATGAGCATTAGAACCAGTTTAATGACTTCATTGCAAAAATATTTCATTTAAAAATAAAATCACATTTTTAGTAATATACTCACACTTATTCTTTCAAACGATTGCCATTTGTTCTAATTTATGTAATTTTCTGCTAGAGTTCTATATTTACATGCCTTTCATTACATTATGTTTTACTTCAGTGCTGTGTGCTACAGGTTCTGTGCTTGATAGCTACAGTTCTGCACTTAAAAATATGCTTAGTTTATCTCGAGATCCAAAATAATAACTATATACCAAGCTTTTTTTCTTTTTTATAGTGTATAATCCTTAAAATATAGAGATATTTCTAAACTATAAGTTTTTAAATTCAAAGAAAAGAAGTAAAATAGCTATTTTCTTAAATTTATTTATTTATTTTATGTATCTATCTTAAAATCATAAACAACAAGTAATGTAAAAAAAAATTTATTCGTACTTAGGATAACAAAGAATTAAATTTTATTATATGAGTCAAAGAATTCCAAATTTTACTTCAGTTACTTTTTATTAAATAATTACAATTAATATGATTGTCCGTTTGTGAAGCAAAATTCTATATCTCTCTCTCATATACTTTCTATCTTTCTCATTAATTTATTCTCGTGTTTCATTTTCCATTTTGTTCCTTCCTTGATTCAAACTAGAACTCAGAATGAAAAAAGAAAATTTTTTCTACACGCATCGTCACTGGCGGTATTTATTCCTAAATTTATATCCTGCTTCATATCTTATGTAAGATAAATTTTTCTCCCCTGTAAAACTGAAATTAATTAATTATAAATTCAATTAATGAATTAATATTTGAAAAAATGATATTAACATTAAGTGCCATTCATTACAAGCTTAAAAAAGTGTATTTGATCTTGAGTGGATGAATGAAAAGTATTTTATTAATGATTGAAAATATGAACAAGATCTGTAAACGTATATAGGAAGAGAGTGAACTAATATTGGGAATTGAAAAGCATTTTTGTCTCATAAATACCATTAAGGTAGATAAAATTCGACAAAATAGAACAATATCAAGTGAATTTTTTTTTTTGCCTTATCACACCTTTCTCTTATCATTGTTCGTAATATAAAAACAATTTTAAAAACAATAATTTAAAAAAAATCAATATAAAACAAATTTATTTTATCTATTACAATATTATTTTTGCTTACATTTCAAATTTTTAAATATTTGAAAAGAAATATTTTCCTTTTAAGCGTCGGTAAATGCATTAGAAATTTTTTATTGCTGAATAAAAAATTTCCAACCAATTTTTATTAACCAATTTATTGTATCATTTTATATAATAGAAAAACTTTTTGCCGTTAAAAATATAATGACATGAAACATAATTTGCTTTTTTATTTTTATTTTGTACATTTTTCGTTTATGATACTTAAATATTGACAGAGTTTTCCTTTTTTTCCCTTCATAGCTTTACTATCCATTGATTATATTTTTTATCATCTATTCGAACATAAGAATGACGCCCTTGGAATGTGCCTTCCAAAAATAAAAAAAAATAAATATAAAAAAAGGAAATCTTATATCTTATGTCTCTTAACCTTTTCAGTTAAGACAATAATGCGTTGTAAATCCACTGGTTAAAAATACATTTATATGAATAATAATATTTAGTTTCTTGAATTCATCACGAATAAACTATTTCTATAAACCACAGAGGAAGCAATGAAAATCGTTTATTTGACAGCTTATACTTTCCTGGCATGCACAATAAAAAAAATATTGACTCAGAAATCTCGTTGTTGCAATTCTGATTTCTCAAGAACATAGTTGTTGAAATAAATATATTTATGTGTTACGTTATCCAAAGGAAAAACATGAAAAACGCTCGCCTACATAATGTATTATTAACCAACTCTAGCGTAATACTAATTTGAATAGTTTATAAAATTTTATTGATTTAGATAAAATTTTTAAACCGGTTTTTACTTTAAATGAGACATGCAAAGCAAGGTTACAATAATCTAGCTGCATTAAATTAAATAAATAAATAAAATGTCTTGGATTTTTATTTTTTCCTGAAAATTATTTGTGCCAACTTTTTTATCCCATTGTATCCTATAACCTAAAGATTTAAGAATTTAAGATATCTTTCATCCATAATATAATAATTTTTCACTGCTCCAAAGATTCATAACCTTTTTTCTTGTTCATTTTATTACCTCCATAATTATCGAGGCCTTCTTGGGAATAAACATTTACCAAGTCTATGTCTACTCTCTAACTCATGTTTGTAAAATATAAATTGTTATTTGTATAAATTAAAAGAAAAAGTTAGTAACTACAAAGAAAAATTGAGATTTCTCTGGGAATGATTTTATTTTATTATACAACTTCCATTTGTTTTGTCAAGTCATTAAATTTTGGAGATCTCAATGCATGAAGGTGTGAAATATCAGTTTATGCGTATTTTTGGAGTAGAGGAAGGGTTCAAATGTTAATTTGGAGACAAAGAGGTGACTGCAACTTTAGTAAGTGCCGCTTTTGCCACCATACTCGAACACCAAGAGAGTTTTTGTTTCTAATGCCCAATACCAGGAAACCTGCCTAGTGAAACCAAGCGAAATTAAGGCAAAGGGTGCGTTTACTGTTTTTCAGTGGCGCCATCTATGGTCAAGAATATGATTTCAGCCACACGCAAGTCACACCCGTTTATATAGAGGACCCTTTCAGGCAACCATTTATTTATCCTCAGATCGTAATCTTTACCTGAACCAGAGAACAATCAATCTCCAATTCAGTACCCCAGAGGTATGATTAGTCATGTGAACATGAAGGACTTCGTGACACGACAGATTTAACGTAAACCCGTGACCAATTACTACACGGGGAGTCTTCGGCGGGTGGGGATAGATCTCACGACTCCTTGACCATGTGCCGAACACCCTACCAACCAGGCTATCCCAGCATTACACCAAGAGTTTGAATTCTAAACCACGCACACTTTAAATAAACATTGAGGTTTTATACGCTGAGAAACAAAGATTCTTGCTCTATGGAAGAATAAAAAAACAAGGCAATTTTTTCAATTTTTATTCGGTTAAACTTAATTTTCAATGTTGAGATTTATACTAAATGTGTGGTAATAGGAACAATTTTTTTTTATAAAAGCAGAACTTTCGGTAAATGGTAACCGTATAGGCGGGAAAAACTACAATGCGAATGGTTTAAATGCCGTATATTTTGGATTTCAAAACCAGAATTATTGATTTTTTTTTATCAGAAATGGCATTACCATACAGTATGGCAATTGTACCGGAATTTTTAATAGTTTACGTAATACATAGTTACAATAGCTTACGAAATACTTACTGGAAATTAGGGCAACTCGCAATCTTCATTTTCTTACTCAAGTAATTAACTCCAAAGCTAATTTACTCAAATTCATTAAAATAAATCCAAAATCAATTTCTAAATTGAAATGAACTCAAATTCACTGTAGAAGCTTCATCCAATCAGATCTTCAACTGGTATGCACCAAAAAAATTTAACTGGAAAAGTTAAATATGGCTTGCCACTTGTTTTATGTCAATACGCCTCTAAGCTAGAATGCTAATGTTCCTTCACCAAAATGGCTGTTTCACTGATCTACAAAAATTCTTTTATGCATCTATCAATATATTTCAATGTTTTTCTGTATATAAATACAATCGTTACCTGTTTTTCATTTTTTAGTTGGGTGTTGCTGCCGGCTATCTATTTTCTCCCTTGATGATTTCTAACAATTGTTCTGATAAAGCTTTGATACAACAAGAAAAAACTACAGTCACCACTATTCTTACATCCGTCAATGTTTTTTGGCTTTTTCTAGTTGTCTTCAGTAAGTAGTTTTAACTTAACATCTTTTATTTAAAATTTGCTTTATTTGGATAATAAAAGATAAAAATATAATATTTAATCTAAAGAGAAGGGGAAAATGCCACTAACATGTATATATGTTGAATAAATTCTCTTTTGATCTCGAGATTGAGTTGTAATGTGAAAATTTTTTATATCATTTTAAAGTGTGTAATCTCAAATGTAAAATTTGAACGAAATTAGTCTAATAGTTTTAGGGTGATGAAATTTTAAAATTATGTTTAAGTTATAAACAATATTTTTAACGATGAAGCTTCATTACGAAAGGAAATTTTAAAATTTCATTTCTCAAGAATTTCATTTCTCAAATTTGCACGTTGTTATTTAAAATTGCATGCTTTGTAATAATATAAAAATTCGCAAAATGCTTTACGATTCAAACTTTTTTCAAGTGGAATATTCGTAAATCACGGTTTTCTGAAGATAACCGAAGTCAAGCATCAATGGTTACGGTTACTAAACGGGTATTTGATCACTTTGATTAACCTATGAATGTGTGCAGTATCTGTTTTCGTTAAATTGTTCTACAGAAATTTTCTCGACTTCGTGCAAACATAGTCGAAATACCAAACAGGGTGAGAAATTCCCACAGCAAAGGAGCAAAATTCTGATAGCGTGTCTTCGGATCATCCTCAGATTTGTTTCCCAGACCATCGCAGATAGCCCATTGTGAAACTCTACTGCAATGTAAAGTACTACTATTGCTATTTTACAATTGTTATAAATACAATGATAAGAAACAATGATAATTATTAAATATTATTTTTTGATAAACGAACTATGAAAAATCCTTGTTTCATTCCAATAATTCTAGGATTCTATTATTATTATTAAGGTAACTTTCATGTGTAGAATAAATTTTCTATAACACTTACAGCATTCCAGGACTCACCTAAATATCCACCAAATCTGCATCAGGTAAAAAAACAAGTAACACACTCCCACCTCAAGACAGTGATTGGAATGTTCAAAAGTCTGAACTTCATTATGCTCTTTGTGATGTATGGTAAATAGAAATTTCTATTAATTAATTAATTTATTTATTTGCTTGTTTGTTTGTTTGTTTGTTTGTTTGCTTGCTTGCTTGCTTGCTTGCTTGCTTGCTTGCTTGCTTGTTTGTTTGTTTGTTTGTTTGTTTGTTTGTTTGTTTGTTTGTTTGCTTGCTTGCTTTTTTGTTCACTTGTTTACTTATTACAGTATAAATCTCATTGTTTAGTTTATAAATAAATACATTTCATTTATCAATCTAAAAAGATGTTAGTTAGGTTTTTGTAGATCGCCCAAGAATTAACGAAACATATATTTAGATTTTTTAAGTGGAAAGGAATAGAAATAAATATTATAATAAAAGATGCTACAAAAATAAAATAAGAAATCATACAAATACCTTCTAAAACCTTGTCCTAAAAGTCTGAGTCGAAATTCGTCTTAATGTCAAAGATACACGATTAAAGATGTCAATATATTTTTCAATTGTTTCAAACAACTTCTCTAAATTGTTTAGTTAGATTTAAAATGAGTAGTTTTTAAAAATTCATTCTAATTTAATTCTTTTTTCTTTTAGGACTAATGGTTGGAACCTATTTTGCTATCACTACTGTATTAAATAATTTAGTTCTACGATATTTTCCTGTAAGTTTTTGAAGTTAGTTTTTAGCAGTAGTTTAGGAATGTTTTAAAAATTGAAAAAATTGAGTTCTTAATTTTACAATTTTTATAAAAATTCAAAGTGGAAATTGCTTTTTTTTACAGTTTTTCTAGTAAATTTCCGCTGAACACAAAAATTTGAGCTTCATGTACTGAATACTTTCAAATTTCATATTTTTTTAATTACTGTTAATGTTTTTATGCACTTTGCTTTGACTAAGCATAACTTTCTTTATTAATGAGTCATTTTTAATGAGTAATTGATTTTACGACTTTAAGAATGTAATTTAGAAAAATTCTAGCTTAAGTTTTAAGTTATGCAACTGGTATTCTCATACCGTAGAGGCTTTTGAAGTTGCATTGTTTAGGATCAATGCAAATTTTTATAAGATCACTGTTCATATTAATAGTCTATCTTCATAATCTGTGGGTTATCCTTCCGGTAGCTTATATTGAAATATATACCGGGCGTTTTTTAAAGACCATCCTTAATATTCGTTTTCAGAATTTCTGTCAAAACTAAAAACAAAAAAGTATGCGTAAGAGAATCACAAATTAATATTTAAACGTGAATAAAGAAAAACGTGATTAAAATCTGACAAATTGCAGTAGAAAAATGCGAAAGTAATGAACATCAAAACATGTTTAATTGGAGGTTGTTTAATTGGAGGTGTTTCCAATAATTTGTTTTTGAGTCTATATTCCTGTACTATGACTTGTCAGATATTAATAGAAGTTTTTTTTCCTTGATTAAATAGTAATTCGCTCCTTACGTATGTATAATGTTTTGCTTTAATATTCATAAGGATTTTAGAATTACATATTAAAAGCAGTCTTTACGGAACACCCTGTATACGTTTTTTCGTGCATAATTAACTCTGCATTTATATCTAAAGCATAGTATAGATACATATTGTTTGTACAAAATGTTTTATTTTAACCTCACTTACAATTCGCTCCGTAAACTATTTAAATGACTAAGTGATATCTACACGAAGAAAAACAATCCTAGTAAAATTACTGTACTGTGTGATAATTGCATTTCTGGTAAAAAAAATAATAAAATAAAACAAATTTTTCTTAAGAAAACCAGTACTCCAATTTACGGTACTTCAATCATTCATTTGGTTATTTTTCTTTTCCTATGGTAAATGTTCACCAGAAATTCAAGATTCCAAAATTATTAGCTCTTATTAATACACTCATTTAATAAAAACTGCAAAGTCACCGAATAATTGGTTTTTATGTCATGCTCTAAGGTATCGTGATAAAATTACAGGATTTAACCCCATTCCTTAAATTTTATCACCTAATATTAAATTATATTTCATTGTTATTTTTACCAAAATCATTATCAAAGTGCTTGTTGTGTTCCCATAGAGCTAAAAACACGGTAAATTTTACCATATTCTGATAGTGTTGACCATACTGTTTCTCTCGGTGTTCAAAAATTAACTTTTCTATTTGCATTTTAGCATCGAGAACTTGAAATTGGTTGGATGGGGACACTTTTTATTGTCGCAGGACTCATAGGGTCAATGATTGCCGGAACTATTCTTGATTATACCCATAAATTTAAGTAAGTTGAACAGGTTATAAATTCAAATAAAATATTTACATGAATGCAAAAATGTATTTAGCATGAAAATAAATTAAAATTATCTTGCGCTATAATAGTTATATAATTTTATACAAAAAATGAGCAATGTATCTGCAGCTGATGTAACTTAATCTTCAGTCTGTTTTAATCTGTTTCATTCAGTTAGCAAAATACAACTGCATTTCTGAGTTAATCTTAGAAAGCATTCTCAGGCAAATTGTTGAACCATGATAACCACAAAACTACTGTCTCCTGAATAAGGCATTATTAAGTTGAACCATGCTTTTATTCAAGAGACCATAATATCGGGCAATCAAGGCCGTAGTAGCCCAATGGTTCCTGATTCCGGATCGGAGTGGCTGGGGTTCTATTTGTGACTCCCTTAAGACCCACTGAGTACATGCAGCAAACGTGCTCGTAAAATCTATGGAATCGAAGTTCTGACGCTGATCAGTACCATAGGTAGAGTGGTCTGAAGAAAATTTCCTTTCCCTTCAGATCTATGCCTAAATTGAGGAAGTGAGTGATGATCTATCAGTGGGTTACTGAGCTAAAACGTACTTTTATCCTTGTGGTGATTTCTTGTCAAACAAAAGGCTCACATTTCTGACCAAAGTCGCTAAAAAGTCAATAGTTGGTGAACTTGACTAGTCTAAATGTCATTAGAAACAACAACATAGTACCGGGTAATCCTGTGTAAGAAGGATTAATTTACGAATACAGTATGTATTGTGAAGTGAATTTGTAAGACATTGAAAGGATGGATCTGTTTATTATCTAGAAATTAGGACTCATTTGTTTATAATGTGTTCTAATTTTGTTAATAAAGTTTCCCGTTAACAAAGTTATTATAGAGCTTCCATCAATTAATTGGGGTATCCATTTTAAAAATGCACATAAAACATAATACTTTACTAAGGTTGCAGTAAATTCGCTTTATGTCTGATATTGATCAAAGTGTACCAATATTTCAAGCAGGGCAACATGAAACATTAATAGGTACAGTGGTGCGTTTAGTAATAATAAAAGTTTTTTTTTATTAATTATGTATCGCAACTAGGAAGTGCTTCTTGTTTATCACTTTAAGCTGAAATTTCGCAAAAAGAAGTACCCGAGTTATAAATGTATTTTAAAAATATAAGAGTCTGTTTCAACCCCAGATACATATTTTTTACGTCATAAAAGACCTATTCATATTATAAAACTCAACTGCAGAAAAATTAAATTAAATAAGTAAAGTAAAGCCTTCAACTGACTAATGTTTGACAGGCTTATTGGAACAGTCAGCTGCCCATCGTAGTCCAGGAGGTAATTAAGTCTCTATAAATTCGGGACCAACGACATGATGGAGACAATGTGCTTAGCATTTTGAAACTTCGCATTAACCACTTTAACTCACTCGACAAACTTATACCTATCGAGCTGAAGTTTAGAGGGCTCCAAGCGGTCGCCAGGGATAGAATTGTAGTTCTTCACAAAAACAGTTCAGCATCTTAAGCCTTGAGCCATCGATGATCTTCGTTTTTAGCTTAATACATTTTTCTTTGCAAAATAATTTTTCTTTAAAAATTCTTCATGTGAGTGATCTGGTATAAAACTGACTACAAATTATAACTTTAGCTGAGGATTTTGATTTAAAAATGAGGGAAACAATGGTCAAATAAATGCTAATATTTGCAGAAAATTTTTTCGATTATTAAAGTGTGTGTGTTTGTCTATCTGTATTTATTTAAATACTGTATCTGCTTTTCTACTTGTATTTTAGAGAAACAGCATTATGCATTTGCGTCGCTAGCTTGATTACGTTGATTATTTTTTGTTCTCTACTGGTCGTCAAAAAACTGTGGGTGACGTTTCTTACTATCATAATATGTGGGTAAGAATTTCCATTTCAGCTTCTTTTTTAGTTTGAAAATTTTTATAAATGCAATAAATTTATTGCTAAATATTTAAAAATCAATAAAGCTATATTTATTTATAACGAAAGCCTAAATTACCATAATTCCAATAACTGGAATAATTTTTCATAAGTAATAAAAAATTTATGCTCTAATGTAAGCTTCTACAATTCTAAAGGAAACAACGATTAGTAATTTAACGCACTAGTATTCAAATTTTAAAGCTTTTCCGTTTGCACAAAATTTATGAGCACACGATTGTAGTTGTGATTGATCCGTATCAGGACTAGCTACAACCAAAGTTATTTTGATTTCTTTTACAAAAAATATGATGTGATATACGATATGATACATTATATTACGATAAAATAAGATACGATACAATATAATACGATCTGATATAATAGAACGTAATGCAGTAATACAATATAATACAATACAATATGATATGATACGATATATTACAAAATAATGCAATACAATATAATACCATACTATACAATATAAGACGATATGATATGATATGATATGATATGATATGATATGATATGATATGATATGATATGAAAACAAAACTAATTCACTTATGATATGGGATAAAAATAAAACAAATTTACAACATTCTCTAGATCTGCTGTTTAAAATGATAAATAACAATTAAAAAATAATAAGGATGCTTGCGAATAGAACAAGTTAAAATCTTAATAAAACATGTTTTATTGAAATATAAACAGTCTAAACATTTGAAAATTTGACCAGTATAGGTAGGAAAAAGTCCTATTTTTCTATTTTTGAATCTATTTTAATTCATAAAAAAACTTTGATAGTATAAATGGATTTTAAAAATATATTAAAAACGTATAAATAAAAATAAATAAAAACTAAAAAAAGCTAATAAAAATTTAATAACAAAAGTTTTTACAGAATTTAAATAATTTCGATCGTTAACTAATCGAATTTAAAAAGTAAATGTAGTTAAGGGTTTAAATAGATGAAATTCGTGAAAAAGCTTTCTTTTAAGACTTCAATATAAAGATCCCATTTACCCTATGTACCAAAATATTTTAGTAATAACGTCATTTACTCTTTATATCTTTTCATTATCAACCTTTACATGTATTTTTATTAAAATTTGAATATTTGTTTACATGCACATTATGAATGTTGTTGCTAAAAATTTCTTTTTTTATTATTCCTGTAATTAATTTATTTTATAAATAGATGTATAATATGATAATTATAGAGTTTGTACTAAAACTAAATGCATCAAAAATTATTTACGCATTGCTTTAGATTTTTCCTGACAAGTTTTCTACCAGTTGGTTTAGAATATGGAATCGAATTAACATTTCCAGAATCCGAAGTAATCAGTGCATCATTACTTAACTCAGCTACAATGGTGAGTAGCTTAACAAAAGATTGTTACAGTTTTACCTTTTTTCTTAATCAACAATCAACCAAATCAATCAATCAAATCATGACAACCATTTGCCAACACTATCTATTTCTTTCAGAATTCAGCGTGTTCTGCAAGGATTATCTGCACTAATTATTTTTTTTTCATCTTTTGTGGAAATTGAAAAAGTATGCACAATTTGCGTTGTAAGTTATCTAAAGAAACTTATCGAAATCTAACGAACCACTACTGAAGAAAATCAGATTAAAAGCATCAAAATCTGTTTAAATGCCAGAAGAAACTTATCAAAAATGAAAGCTAATCTTAAGAAACATATGAGATGGTTTCGATTTAATAATTTTAATTTAATTGTATTTAAACATGCCTTTGAAACAAAATACTGTTACATGCGCTGTAGGGGTACTGCTTTTGGTGACGGATTTTTGTTTTAAGTTTATCGCAGATAAAATTTAATTTCAGCTCCCAGTCAACCTTTCGTCCATAGAAGTCAGAGCGAAATGCACCATTTTAAATAAAATATAACTAATTTAATGTTCCTAAAGCTGTTCGGCAACTTTTGATCCATGGACCGCCACCGGTCCGCGGTCTGGGGGTTGGGGAAGCTGATTTACGCCATCTGTGTTCAGTATTATACGTTTTACCATCCAAATGAGCTCTTCATATAAAATCCTTATTTTCTCACTAAGTTATGCTAGTCTAAAATGAATTTCAACTTAAACTTTTGCTGTTTTAAGATTAAAACCACCAGATAACTTGTAAACTGAACTTTTTCTCAATTAAAAAAATTTCTCAATTAAAAAAATTCTTTAATTTTTCTCTTGTTAAAAACTCTTATTCTTTTCTTTCCTATCTTCTTTATGAACACATTAACCTGAAGTGCATTTTTAAAATTATTTTTAGCTGTTTGGATTTATATTGACAGAAATTACATCAAGTCTACTGGAGAACTTCGGCCAACTGTATTCAAATATTGCTTTGGCTATTTATTTGCTTATCAGCATCATACTTACAGGTAAGCAAACACGGCTAATAAGGATTTAATAGGAAAAATACAAATAAAGAGTTTATTGATTAGCAAATATGCAGCTTATGCAACAGAATATGATTATGATTGCAAAATGATATTATGATAATTTATTATTCGGACTATATATACGACTGTATTATAATTGCAACAAAAGCTTGCATTAAAAGAAATCATGAATTATTAAATATTAAAGCTTTCATGATGTACTTTACATTATCTTTTGTCTCATCATGAAACTTATGCACAGTGCACAAAAAAATGGACCATCCTGAATAACTTTTTATCAATTAAACAGATTTTCACGTTCTAGGACTCAATCCTAATGTTTCGCAGGGGCAACCTCAAATATGCTAATAATTTAGTGAAGACGATATTTTAAAGAAAATATGCCTTTTTTCCCAACGGATTTGGATTTCTGAGCCCCAAAATAAAGGGTTAGCCGCAATCTGGGAAATATGGTCCCCATAATTTGGACAGGAGAGCAATCCAAAGTTTAGACCCCTTCATGTTAATTTTACTTTTTGCGTATTTCACATTATCTCGTGAATTTTTTCAGAGAAATGAAACGTTTTTGCACACAATTTTAAAATTCGTTTATCCTAAGATAGTTCTATGCAAAAAAACAAACAAAAAATTTAGAACAATTTATAATTTTTTATTCTTTTAAGTAATTTATTGTATATAATTTATTGTAAGATATAAAAATTTTTAGATCATTATAAAAAATTTATACATGGCAAAATACGAAGTCTAAGCGAAATCGGTTTAATAGTTCCTAAAAAATTGAATTTAGAAAATACGATTTCTGAGCAGCTAATTGACCGATTTCTGATATATCTTCTTTTTTATGCAAAATTGCATTTTTTAAAATGAAGTAAGAAATTATATACTTTACAATTCAAACTTTATTTAGACTATTATTAAATAAAATGATAAAAAAAATAAATATTTACTAAAACCTATATTTTGGGGATCAGAAATCCGAATCCATTGAAAAACAAGTATATTTATTCACAGAGAGTCCGTTTTTGTGTCTGATTTCATAACTAAAATATCGTCTGCACTATTTAATTAAGCTATTAGAGGTTACCCTCTCGAACCATAAAGATTGAGTCCTATAACGTCAAAATCCGATTTAGATTCAAAAGTTATTAGTCAAAGTGGTCCATTCTTTAAATTTATATTTTTAAGAGCACTGTACGCACATTTCTTAAAGTTCTAGTAAACAAATAAAAAATTTTGGAACAAATAGAAAATAATTTTAAAAAGTCTATAAATAATGTCGTTAAAATATTAATCAATTTCAGGAAATGTCTTTTTAAACTTTGATACATAAAAATAAACTTTTTTAGGTTTCTTATGAACAATTCCAACTGGCCAATTAAAAAAAAACATGTATATATATTTTTAAAAAAATATTAATTTTAATTTTGAAAGTCCAAATCTTTTAAATTAAAATCCGAAACTAATCAACACTTTTGCGCACATCAGTTAAACGGTTTTTATCGATAGTCTATATGCAAAAAACAAATTTTCATAACTATATATTATTTTTCATTAATGATAGATAAAGGTTTTAACTGCAAAGTACATAAATATGTGTAATTTTAAATAACAAAATCCAAATTTTAAGGTAATTCAATTCATATTATATGGAAAATAAAGCTTTGAAATACGACTTCTTTGAGAAAATAAAATGGGGAAATTTTCAAAAAGTAAAAATTAACATAAGAGCTCAAACTTCTAATCACTCTTGTACCTAAACTATTCGCTCCAGATTTTCAAGATTACGACTCCACCTATACTTCCAGATACAAAAATCTCAATTTATTGACACAATCATGTTTATACATGAAAAATACATTTTTGTGTTATATTTCGTAGCTTAAAACATTGACGGGCTCAATTATTTAGGAAAGTTAATTCTTCGAATTATTTAGACTGGAAATCCGATCACTAATTATTAAGATGTTAGCCTTTTTTGCGCTGTACAAAAATTAATATTGGAAATTGTTGGGCAACTTTATAAGCGAGAGTTTTAAAAAAAAATAAAAAATTGCTTGGTTTTTGAGACAAAAGTAATTAAAGCACCACGTTTCACTATTACTAGCACTTTTTAAAAAAGTTTCAAGTTATTATGTCTCGTGAACTATTAAACCAATTAACTTTTTTTACCTCAGGAAGCCACGAACATCTTTTAAAAAAATTTCATTAGTTATTTTTTATTACACTCTGCCAAATAGCATTTTTTTATTTAATTCATTGACTCAAAATTCATATTAGTGGTAGCAACCTGAATTCCTGATTCAATATTCCAGCGAAAAATATTTGTTTCATGCAATATCATTTCTTAAAATTTATACCAATATTTATGAAACAATTTACATAAGCATTATACAAATACAAATCTTTTCCTTTGAAATCTATCAAACACTATACTATTGATCATGGCTTCAAGAAAAATATATTTAAAACCTTATTAGCATGTGTGTGTTTATTAGGATTTTGAAGTAGATGCAGTAGAAAAGTCGAAAAATGAAACACGAATTACCTATTTTTATTCCACAGAAATTTTATAGCCCGCCTTGAGAAAACTTCCTCACATTCTAAGAGCCTTAAGTATCTAGTTAGTAAACAGTGTAAAACAAAAAGAATTTAAATAAGAGTATTACATTCTGTCTATGAAAAATTAGTAATAATAATTATTTTAACTTTGATAACCAGAATCTGAACTATAACATAATTTTCAAGAGGTAAAAATATACATTTAAAAAAAAAATTTGCAAACAATTTTTAAATAATACAGTTATGATTTTCCTTTTATTTCAGTGTTCCTCACATCAGAATATAAAAGGAGTAAAAACCATACAAAAGAGGAAACTCGTCAACCTCATATTTCAGAAGAAAATGTTGAAAAAACAGTTTTCTGAATTTTAAAAATATTAGTTTTTTAATTTTGCTAGCTCCGCGCTCCACTCCAAGCAACTAAACTCATCATCGCAACTCATCAAGTGATTGATTCGGTTCTTCGATGTTTGACTAACTCAGCGTTTCACCCCAAACATTATGTAACTTGGAACTCATCAATTGATTAAATAGATTATTTTCTTTGTCTGATGTTTGACTAACTTAGAATTTCACCTCAAACATTAAGCAGTTTGGAGCTCATAAATTGATTAAATAGACTATTTTCTTGCCTGATGTTTGACTGACTCAGCGTTTCACCTCAAGCATTAAGTAGCTTGGAACTCATCAATTGATTAAATAGACTATTTTCTTGTCTGATGTATGACTAACTCAGCGTTTCACCTCAAACATTAAGTAGCTTGGAACTCATAAATTGATTAAATAGACTATTTTCTTGTCTGATGTTTGACTGACTCAGCGTTTCACTCCAAACAATAAGTAGCTTGGAACTCATCTATTGATTAAATAGACTATTTTGTTGTGTGATGTTTGACTGACTCAGCTTTCTACCACAAGTATCAAGTAACTTAAAACTCATCATGTGTTTGAATCGGTTATTTTCATTCCGGATGGTTGAATAACTCAGTGCTTCCCCACACGCATAAGTAGCTAGCAGTTTACCAATGTTCATCAATTGATTCCATCAATAAATCAATTGATTTCACCAATTGATGGAATCAATTGGTGAACATGAGTGTATTGCTGAATTGGCGAAATGGTGAATGTTCACCAATTGATCACCAATCAAACGGTTATTTTAATGTCTTCGATTTAACTTCGATATATGCAGGTAAATTGTTAAAAAATAAATTGAAATCTCAGCACACACACACTCATTCATTCATCGATGAATAAAAGGATTGTGATAGTATCGTGATCAACAATTTTCCCCAAAAAATAGCATTCTTACATCAGATTGTTTCTTAGAATTATTTCTGGACAGAGATGCATTTTTCGAAGTGTCTGAAATTCTATTAGTTGGGAACAATACACAGAATTATTATTCCTTCCCTGCATTTTTTTCAAATTACTTAGCTCGCAGTTGCGATTTCCCGAGCAGGCGGAGTCAGTTCTTTTAAGAGAAAACGAGTATATTTTTAAGTTATATGCTGCCAAGCTGCGATTTCCACATTGGCAGAATTTATATGCTGTCATTGGAACCTCAATGCCCTGATCTGCCACTCCTTTTGAGTGATTGGGAGAGAGGGGGAGTCAAACGCAGGTGTGAGGATGAAAACTTTATGTAACCAGAAATATTGCCGATGGATGGTGTTTTCCACACTAGGGAACGTTGCAAGCTCCATACCGCCTATACTTCCGGGTTACTGTCTCCGGCATATTTTGAAGCCATTTGACTCACAACGTGATCATTCTGCTCTGAGATTCTTGCAAACGTGGTATTTGATTACTTATTACTTGTGCTTACAATGCTAACAATACTTGTGTTTACAATGCTAAAGGTGCTAACACTAACGTAAGACGGTGCACAGCTTGCAACAAGAAAAAGCAGTAATAAATAAATGGAAAGAGGCCAAATCAGGACTGCCAAAAAAGTGAGTTATTCAAAATCTAGCAACCATGTCACCTTTTTTAACAATATATCAATAAATAACTGAAACAAGTTTTCACTTCCAACTCACCAGAATTACTTAATAACATTAATATCTTATGAAATACGGCAGATTTGAGCTCAGAAATTATCTAATTTACTTCTTTTATAGAAAACAAAAATATTCGTTTGAAACTATCGCCTCGCGGAATAAGCTGTAGTAAGCAGTTGCGAACTTTCTAACCGGAACTAGAGCAGGTATTGAGCTCGAGATTGTTATTGTTTACATTTATATTGAAAACACCATTCATATGGAAATCGTAGTTTTTGACCGAAAACGTTTTCCCGAAAGCTTTGAAAAATGTGGTTAAGTATTATAACTTGTTATGTCCGAAAAATGTATGATGTTTTTGAAGGATTAATAAACTCTTATATTGCTAAATGTCTCTTTTTAAATATCTTCTATGATTTTTGTAATTTTTAAGCAGAAAATTTACCACACAAATTAATAATAATACTTCAATGGGGTCTAATTGTCTCAACTGCAACACTACACGATTGTCGTTCCCAAAACATGACCAAAAAAGTTATACAATGACAAAATAAAAAGTTAGCGGAAATTGGGCATTTTTCAGTAACCAAGGCTTTCCTTAAGAACCGCTCTTAAAATATATCTTTAAAATTTAAATGAGGACCAAAAAATCACCAAATTAGAAGTCGAAAGCAAATAGTAAGTGAAAATAAAACACATCGAAATTTAACAAATTTGATTAACGTGCGTACAGAATTACAAAACCTGATATATTGCTGGTTGAAAATTGAAGAACTTTCTTATAAATGTCTTTTAACTCATTGTTTTCTCTCTCAATAAAACAGGTTTTGTACAACAGCCTTTTTTAACAGTCATTAGCCATATTTCTGGGGTGTTTTTTCCTTGCTTAAATATTCTTTTTTGTCATCATTTCCAATTAAGATTCCACAAGGAAGGAACTTTTACAGAACACCGTATAAACTGAAGCTACGCATATAAGTTTGAGAAAACACTTAAAAGATACAATTCACCAAATTCTAGATAAAATTCTTGAGTGAAACAAAATACTTTTTTAATTTGATTTTTATTATATTTACTATTTTGTTTAAAAAAAAGTGCTGAATACTGCTTTCTTTCATAAATATTGTCTTGTTATAAAGGAAGAAAACTGTACGCATTCTATAAGAATAAGTCAAAATAATTAAAAAAGGATGATTTTGGATGTAAAATAACATTATTGAATTGTTTGTAAGATTAATTTTTATCATACTCAAATATATGTGTAACTCATTCGAACGCAACATCTTCTTTAAGTTCCAGTATTTTTTTACTTTAAGAAATATATTAAAATCTAAAAAATTATCATTAATTATGCAACGTTAAAGCAGCCGAAATAACCTATTTTTTACTCAAGTAAAGAATATTTCTACATTTACAGAAAAATAAGTTCAAGGTTGTTGAATCATAATATCGCTAACTTGAACCACAATTTGGTGCAATCTTGATAATTCGTTTCCGTTCAAGTTAAACCATAGTATCGTGTAATAAAGATAATGAACTATAATTTGATTCATATTCGAAACACATTTGCGTTTGCAGCAAATCTAAACAATGTTATGCTTTACTACATTCTAAATTTTTTGACAGTGTACCAGAGGGGTGTCAAACTCGCGGCCCGAGATGAACATTTTTGTGGCCCAGTCAACATATCCGAAGCAAAGTAAAAATAAAACAGAAATGTGAATTACAAACGAAACCAGCATATAAAATTATAATATACTTTATTTATAAACTATATGGATCATTTTAAATCGTACGCGTGAAAATGTAAAATTCTAATTGACTGAAATGGAGACCGTTTCACACTAAGCTATCAATTAGATAGTACATATTCTGGTTTATCTTACTATAGTGAGGTACGTCGGTTATCTTGCTCCAAGGTTCTCAAACAATTCTGGGATTTGAAAGAAGAAATGTGTAAGTTTTTACAAACTAAAATTCAAGATACAAGCTTGTTCTCCGATCAAATATGGTTGCAAGATTTATCTTTTAAGGCTGATATAACCAAACACTTATCCGATTTAAATTTATTGTTACAAGGCAAGGATCAGATCATTAGGAACATGTTTGACATAATTAAAGCGTTCAAATGTAAACTATTTCTTTGGGAAAGGCAACTGAAAAATGAAGATTTAACGCACCTCCCAACGTGAAACAAGAACATATCTAGTTTAGATGATACTGCATCGTATCAAAAATACGCAGAAAGATTTTTTAAATCTTAGAACCGAATTTGAAACAAGGTTTAAAGATTTTAATTCTTTGGGAGACAAATTTTGTTTGCTTTCTTCGATTTTCTCAATAAATATAGACTCAGTACCCAGTTACATGCAAATGGAAATGATTGAGATTCAGTGCGACTCAAATTTGAAAGAAAAAGTCATTGAAATGGGTGTGCCTGAGTTTTACGAATATTTACCGGCGAGGTTTGAAAATACTCAAAAATTCGCAAATAAAATTATTTCCATATTTGGAAGTACTTATCAGTGAGAGCAATTATTTTCTGTTATGAATGGAACTAAATCTCCTGTCCGAAACCGTATTAATTACGCTCACGTTTGGTCAATTTTGAAAGTAGTCTCGGCCAATAAAATTTTTCGCGAAATAGAAAAGATAGTAGCAGAGAAGAGATGTCAAGTATCAGGACGTAAATAATAATTTAACTTTATATATGTTTATTGCAATTCAAAATAAAAATATTTGTTTTCTATGAACATAGATTTTTTTTTTTTTTGGCGGCCCACCTAAAGTTTGGCCCAAGTTAGCTTTTGAGTTTGACACCCCTGGTGTACAACTTAAAAAATTATTTTTCCCTCTTCAATTCAGTTTGAAAATTTAGCTTTTGATATTATTTGACCATAAAATTGTTACTTAAAAGGTATAATTATCACTTGAACGAGTTTACCTTGCATAAGTGGAATTGAGTTTCACGACTTCGAAATAACCCAATTATATTTAAACTTTTCTATTTTTTTTTTCATTGGGTAGTTCTTAATTAAAAGCAGTTTTGTTATTTTCAGTTTATAATATGTGAAGTTGATCAAAGCTAAATAATATTTTTATTCCAACAAGTTTTATACTTGTAACAGGTGTTGGGCACTAAAATATTTCGAATAAGTCATTTTACTATGCTATATAACTCAAAAATAAAACATTCCCAGAACAGCCCATTTATAACCAAAGGGAATATGAAGGTTAAGGCTCCCCAATTTCACGATCAACGTCATGATTGTGCCAAAGGGGTCAGCAACACGTAATAGCCACCTTTACTTCTCAGACAGGGCAGGGATAGTCTGATCGATAAGGCGCTGGGACCATGTCCGAGAATTCGTGGGTCCGAGAATTCGAAGACTCCCCGTGTACTAAAGTGTCGAGTAGCAAAAGTTCTCCATGTTCCCATAACAAATAATATCTGTGGGGGTACTGGATTGGAGATCGATCGTTCTCTGATTCAGGTCAAAATTACGATCTGTGGATAAATGAATGGATGTATGAATGGGTCCGCCCTATAAATGGGTGCGACGCATGGTGTGGCAGAAGTCGAATTCTGGGCAATAGATGGCGCCACTGAAAAACAAGAAACGCACACTCTGCCTTAAATTTGCTCGGTTGCAAGCAGGCTTTCCCGTGTGGTAAGTGACATTAGAAACAACAACAACACTTCTCAGACAAACTGGTACCCATCGATCTGCAGCTGGGTAAACTTCAAGTGGCAACTGGGGATCGAACTCTCGTCCTTTATATTGATTGTTCAGTGACTTAACCATTGAGTCATTGCAGCTTTCTGTGTAACTTATTATTTATTTCGGAAATTTGCCAAGATTTGATGCCCACCTTCTCATATCATCTACTAAAATCAGTGTCATTTACTAAATTGTTTCAAAATTGTAATTTTCAAATAATCTTTTAGAAAACCTGATTATAGTTTTTTTTATTTTCTGAAACACATTGTATGGTATCATTTCAACAATAAAAACCATCTTTCTACGTGTCTTAATATAAAGGTAAAATACAACGAAACATTTAAGTAAACTTTTAAATAAATAAAAGCTCTATAAACTTTAATAAACTTTAGATGAACAATACAATTTTGGAAGGTTACATTCATAAAATTTTGTAAACTTCTAATTAAACAAAGATGGTTGAGGTCTGTCTTTCAAATATTATAAGAATCAATAAATCATTTTAAAAACCTTTTACACATTACAGTATCTTAAACAGGTTGATTTAAATATAGCAGAAAATTTTTACTTGTACTCTATGTTTCAAAAATAAAATACAAATACATTAAATTTCTTCTAACTCTTTGAAATTAAATATTACTTACAATGTAATATGTACTTTATGCATGTAAATTGATAAAAGTTAGTTAATTGAAAAACACTTTGAAATAAAACTCTTATAAATAATGGTAATTCCAAAACTCTTATAGATAAATCGTGGTAATTCCAAAATTTCAAAGATTTTTGTCAAAATGAACTAATATTTTAATGCATGTTACATTCTAAAAATATTTAAAACCAAAGTAAGAGATTTAAAACCAAATTTTCAAGAATCACACTTTTTTTTCACTCTTAATTAACAATGCAGAACAACAACTATAACAATATAAGAATTATTTTACAAAATTATTAAATATTCAACTAAATTAAACATATTTTCATGTCTTTTACATGTATTTTTTATATGGCACACAGTTCTATACATGACTAGTTAATGACAATATAAATGTACAAATCTGATAAATAATATGGATAAAGTAAAGCTGCATGAATAGTTTTTTGTTGTTAAAAAAATGTTAGTTTTTGAAACATCTAAAAAAAATTTAAAAAGTCGTACAGAAATTGACATGAACAATTAACTCACATCTAAAACTCTTCAATTCAAAAATAGCGATTTTAAAACATTAAATTTCGTATAAACACATTGAAAAATGCTATCACATATGCATCATAATTAATGCATGTAACTAGGAAATTCTCAGTCATGAAAAATGAAAAACTAATAAAATGTGAAATGATATGTTATTTATCCATAATTTCATTCTAAACTTTTTGACCGAGGCTTCAATTCATCAAACGCTGCATTTGTTCTTCGTAAGTTGCATTTCATACAAACTGAAAGACAAAGAAATAAATTTATATAAAGAATATTATTTGAAAAATATACTGTTACAATATAAGCATTCTTATTACTAGTCTAAAATTAACTCTTAACAAATCTATGCCACCACAGAAAAAGCACGGGTACTTGAGGAGGTAACACACAAAAAGATGAACATCAACGTCAGTGCAAGTCTTTCCCGCAGATGTTACGTTGTTTCTTTCAGGTGCATGACATTAAAGCAATTTTCAGTTTCAAAGAAAAAAAAATTCTGCGAAAAACTGAACTAACTACATTATGTTCAAGAGCAAACAGTGCACACGTGTCATCGTTGCATGTGTTGTTATGGCGACCGCTGCTATTTAATAATTTTTGGAATTCCATTTTTTTTATTAGATTCATTATGCACTGGACGCCCGGTGGCGGAGTAGTAGCGCTCCGCGCTCCCGTGCCGCAGGTCCTGGGTTCGATCTTTGGGGCCAGGCAATGTTGACTCAACCTTTCATCCCTTCAGTGGGTCGAAAAATGAGTACCAAGCACGCTTGGTAACTAAACACTGGGGGTTCCTCGTTCGGCTGACCACATAACTGGAACATCTGCGCTTGCACTCCGGAGCCCAAGGTCAAGAAAACTGAAATGGGCGCAGTAGGCCTTGGCCCTCTATGGGCTGTCGAGCACTGAGTTTAGTTTTTTTTTTTTATTATACATTGAATGGGATACCTGCAAGCAACCTAGTATGGGTATCTCTATCCAGATTGGTTGTTGAAACGCGGCATTTGTTTACGTTAGAAACAGTTCTTTCTATTCTATTTCAAGTTAGCCAAACCCGTCAAGTATCAATTTCCTTAAGTGATACATTCTATATTCTTTCACAAAGATTTAAATTCTTTCACTACATTTCTTATATTTCTTATTTAACACAAAGACAGGCATGAAGCAATGTAGAACATAAACTAATTATGTATCGAAGTTGCCAGATACACAAAACAAAAATATACCATGATTACAGTAGAATACATAAACAAATAATAAATGTAAGAAGTAGAAGAGAAAGAATTATATTTCAACAAATTTGAGATGCTATACGGCATTGTATTTAATTAACGTCGTGTTAATTAACATTCCAACTTTTGTGGAGAAACTTAGCTCTACTTTAACACGCCATTTTGTTTATAAACAATCAGCTTTGGCATCATAGGTCACATGTGAGGGTATCAATGATCTTCCTCTTCTTAAAATGCAAGTACTCAATTGCGGGACCTGAGAGATCCGATAAAATAAAATACTACTAAAATTGTCAATAAAGAAAATTTCATCAGTTGAACGATGTTTTCTCAATACTGAGTCAGTTATTTCAACTTTATTACAAACTCAGGAAACTAACATCCATTTTATTAAGAAACTTTTATAAAAATCAGATTTTTTTCACATTACTGAAAAGTTGTTCTTCATTGTATAATGAATTCAATAAGAAAAAAAGGAATTCTAAAAATTAGTCAATAACAGCTGTCACCATAGCAGCGCATGCAATGACGATGCGTGCTCACTGTTTGCTCTTGAACAACTTAAATTTATTCACTTTCTTATATATTATGTCAATTATATTACGTCAATTACGGGTGATTATATTATGTCAGGATGATTAATCCCTTTATTAAATATACATTTCTCAAATTTGATTGGTTATGAATAAACTCATTTTGTTACTCACCTCTTTCCTTATTTGAATCAATGCCGTGTATATATCGACAAAAATCCTTTTATTATCTCTCTTATTTAATTAAAATTACATAATTAATATTAATTATATAATTAATTAGTTATAAATGCTAGAAAGTAAATTTAAAATACTTCTAAACCATTACACCTTTATACTTACAATCAAACATTTCAAAACTCCAATCGTTGTATTTTATTAATCACTATTTAGCCTAAATATTTCACTTCCAAAAAATGCATAACACTTTCCATATACTCTTAAAAATGTTTCTATAGTACTCTTGTAAATATTGCAACGTTTGATTGAAACATTTTATTTTGGTTAAAATTGGGAACTTTTTAAGACTTCTTAACTGATTACACAATAAATTATCAGAAGAGAAATATTTATGATAAATATTTATGATTAAATTTCGCAATAATGTCTCTTCAGTAGATCCATGTGGTATCACACCCTCCAAAGTTTCGAAAACTGGATGTTAGTAAAATAACCGATGAGCTTCTTAAAACGGGGAATAGATATCAACAATTAATTTTTATAGAGATTTGTTTAATCTTTACATATTAATATATTAATTCAATCTCTAATGTATGGATGGCGCCAAAATATTCATTACAATTGGATGTTTCAAAAACGTGAATGAAAAGCTTCAGCAGTGCTTTCAAATAAAAAAGTTTGAGACTTTTTTATGCATTACTAACGTTTTTTTTTTAATTTTGTTTTGTTATGTTATAAGGATTTTTGTGGAGGAAATTTAATATAAAAGGAAAAGTTGCTAATAACTTCTGGTATTGAGACTACACAAACGAGAGTGAACTACTACACACTGAAATAAATAAGAGATGTGGCTTGAAATTTTTCAAAAATTGTAAAGTTAATATTCCCGCAACAGCCCGTAGTGGTTCAGGAAGGTTAAGGCACCACATTTTTTTTAACCACCAGCGAAAATTATAGAATTCATAATATTTTTTCTAATGTTTTCACTTCCATAGATTTTTGATTACAAGTAGAAAATAAATGTAAAAAAAATACTGTTAATTTCGTGAGTTAAAAAACCTGTATAGCGTTTATAACCTCTATAGACATTTAATATCTAATGATACCAGCAGCAAATACTGTATAATACAACTTATAATACTAGACTGCAACTAAATAGGAAAAACAAATCTATTTAGTTTTCATGTAGAACTTATTTTACACATATTTTTCTAAGTTTGAAAAGAAAAACATTATTGGAACAATTTTACTAGGTAAAGCAATATAAATTTTTAAAAAAAACTCAAAACTCTCTAAATAAGGAATTTTTACTTCAAAATACATAAATAAATAAAAAAAAATACTTTACCTATTATAATTAATCCTAAAAGTAAGCTACTAGAGAATAAAATATTCGAATAGAAGTCATTATAATTCTGTAGCAACGAAGAGGCAGCGTGAGTGAAAAGTATGCTGAAAATCTAAAATAAAGAAATGAATTATTTGAAATTAATGTATGCTGTTAATTAGTATAAATGTTAATTAAAATAAACTGTGAAGGATATTAAACTATAAAAAAATCGGACAATTAAGAAAGTAAGTAAAGTTAAACAAGATTAAGGTGAAAAAAAATGCACAAAGCTAGCTTATAACTGGAAGCTATCTGAAAAAGAAACTACGACAGCAGTTTCGGAGGATGTCAAGTGGCGAGCAAAAACAAACCACCAAGTTTTCAAAAGTAATTTCGAAATTACTTTAATTCTCTCTGCATAATAATATTGAAAGCTAACGTGTACCAAGCTTTTTCTGCCGATTTCTTTACAAAATCCGCCTTATATGTGTCACGGAAATTTATTTTTGGAAAAAGTTGATGTATTTATCATTAGTTGAAGAAGAAGTTGATTGATGCATTTTCCATTTCTCACAATGATATAGGATAGCAATTACATATTAACACTGCTTAATGAAAAATTAAATATAAATAATAAAAATGTTTTACAGTTTTAAATATGGAGCTCCAAATTAAAGAGGAATCTAATTATTGGATCTAATTATCTGATCTAATTATTGGATCTTCACGTTTTAGGACTTAATCTTTTGGTTCAAAGGAGTGACCTAAAATATGCTATTTAATTACTGCAGACAATATTTTAAGTTACGAAACTAGATACAAAAAGAAAGATACTTTCTCTGAATAAATGTACCTTTTTCTTGACGTATTCGAATTTTTGACACCCTAATGTAGGGGCAGCCACAATCTGGGATAAATAGTCCCAATAGTATGGTCAGGAAGGTCGTCCAAATTTTGGACCCCTTAATATTAAATTTACTTTTCGTGTTTCGCTATATCACGAGAAACTCTTAAAGCTACATGAAAAAATTTTACACGCAATTATAAAACTTGTTTATCCAATGATAATTCTATGCAAAATATAACTTTTAGTAAATATTTATAATTTTTTATTATTTAATTTGACAACAGTCGAAAAATTTTTGAATTGTAAGGAATACAATTTCTTACATCATTTTAAAGATCACAATGTTAAATGGTAGAGTTCAAAATTTGAGCAAAATTTCTTTAACAGTTCCTGAGAAGTCGAATTTTGAAAAACTCTTATTTTTTAAATTTAATTTCTCGTGATCTATTTATCTGATTTCGCTTTGATTTTATATTTTGCCATTTAAAATTACATTTATTAAAAGGATGTAAAAAATTTTACGCCTTACAATTCAAAAAATTTTCGACTATAATTAAATAAAGCAATAAAAAACAATAAATATTTACTAAAAGTTATATTTTGCATGGAATATTCTTCAGATAAACAAATTTTATAATTGTGTTGAAAATTTTTTCTATTCGTGCTTAAAACGTTTTTGAGATATGGCGAAATATGCAAAAAGTAAAATTAACATTAAGGGGTTCAAACTTTGTATAGCTTTCCTAACCAAACTATTAGGACCATACTTCCCAGATTGTGGCCACTCCCAGATTGTGGCCCAGTAAATACACCTTCTACATCTAGACTCCTTTATTAAAAACTTAAAATGTAACCCTGAGGGAAAAATACTAATATACATTTAGACCACTTTCTAAGAAGATATAACAACAAAAGAAGCAATCTGAAACAGTAATAAAAATGTATGGCAATAGAGATACCTGTGTTGATGCATTGAGCAAGCTTCCTGACATGGCTTCAGGCTCTGGATAGGTAATTTCAGCTCCAAAATCAAATCCCGCTGGCAAATACCCAGTCATGAACAAACTGCAAGATTAAAGAAAAAAAAAAGCTTTATAAAATATTTTATTAGAATTATTTTTTCTAAAAAGAATTTTCTGAATTTCTTTTTTTTTTTTTTTTTTTTTTANTTTTTTTTTTTTTTTTTGTTGAAATCAGCGTTTTAAATTATGTATAAAAATTTTGTTAATCCGTCCTGTCTAATACTCAACAAACGGGAAATCTAATTCGTTTGACCATTACAGTCCTCGAGAGGAACCCTGGGCAAAAAAATTCCATAGACATAATGTAAACCAGTCCCCCAAGGTTTGATGCGATCCCTGAGAATAAAGGAAAAAACAATATTTATGGGCACAACAGAAGAGGTTCTGGAAATGGGTTTGCACCCTCCTCTACTTTTAATCACAACTGGGGTTAGGGGAAGGGTTGCCGAGAAGAAAAAAAGTTATATCTTTCATGTATCGTCGGTTTGTTCTGCATTTTTACACTATTGATAAACAGTACTGTACTATTATTTAAGATATTTCTTTGAGAAAATATTTATATCAACCATGTTGATTAAATCTGCTAACGCATTTTGACATAGAAAAAAGAATAAAATGGTAATTGAATGGAGGCAGTGTGCCCAAAAATAAGCGCAGAATTGTCCAACAACTCGTTCACAAATGAGGTATCTCCTGACTGTGATTTTGCTTCTTATGCGCATGCAATGGATCTTAAGGGGTCACAGTACCCTTACAACATTTTTTTTTTAAATAAAGGTATAATCACGCTTTTTGTGCATGCCTTATATGCTCATTTAACTTATAATCAATGATTTATCGTCAAAAAATAGTCAAAGTGCTTAATTTTTTTTTTAATTTAAAGAAAAAAATTGAAAAATTCAAAATGTTTAAATCTTTAAGGCTTTTTTATTTTAATATATTTTCAAAAAAAAAATTTCTCAGTGCTTACAATATCTATCTTAACAATTTTGAGCATTCATTTGTTGATAAATGAATTAGAACATTTTTTATGGATTATTTCGTAAAAAAGTAGGGAAAAAAAAGTTAAAAATTCCTGCTAGGTATATATGACATGCTATAAAAATTGCAAAACCCCATTAAGTGCTTATTCCATGCATGGTTAAAATAAGTGTACTTAAGATATACTTAAGACAAAAAAAGCTTACTTCAAAGCATTATCTCAAATAGAAAAATTCCTTAGGGATTTAATTGAGATTAAAATACAAAATTATCATCTATGCGAAAAAGCACTTAAAAGTATGTCTGCTGATCAAGCTTCTGTATTAGGGCAATCTAAAATCATAACTTTTTAAAAATTGCAGCTAAACAGATGATTTTTTTCAGTACATTTGAAATAGTTTGAAGTTTTATTATAAGCTATAAAAAAATATCCATATTTTGGTCATTTTTGGGGACTGTGATCCCTTAATATGCTAAAGCTACGCCAAATCTGAGTATGTTGCTCACCCTGTAGCTTTTTTTTTAAGATTAAATTAGCATACCTCACTGAGCAGTTTCAAGCATTAATTAAGCATTTGAAAAGCTGAACTTTTTCTTTCCCGAGTTCGCAAGACACTAATAATCCATTGTTTTTTTATAATAATGAATTATTTTTCGAAAGAATAAGATGTGAAATATCTACATGAACTAGGTTTTTAAAAGTGTATAGATTAATTATTATAAAGTTTTCCATAATTTCCTTAATATATGTCCTCACAATCTTTGTTCAAAGCGTTTTAAAAATAAAACATAACAGAGTCATAAATTGATCAAATTTTAATATTTAAAAAAAGTTTCGGAAATTCGACATGCTTTACACAAAAAAAAATCAAGTTCAAGTATCAAAACTGGTTTCATTGTATGAGAAATCTAGCATATGTTTCTAATAATCACTTTTTATTGTCTGCTCCAACAATAAAACGCGCTTTGATACTTAAAATCCAGCATTGCTCGATGAAAAATCGACCAATTTTGATTTTAAAAAATTTCCATGATTATACAAGCAATAAAGTAAACTCTTTGACTTGATTGTTTGCATAACTTCGAACATATTGAATAAAAGAAAATCTTCAAATAAAAAAACAAATACTTACCCGAGAAATGATAGGAATACATATTGTATCCAAATATGTTCAAGTTTAATTAAGAAAGTGTAACCCAGCATGAGAAGGAAGCTTACGGTAAATACCAACACAGAAATTTCTCTGAAAAACATGAAATATTTAAAAAAAATATTATGCTTTAGACATTTTTAATGAAATGAAATGTTAATATTGAATAAAAAAAAACAGACTCACTTGTATTTGTGGGTTCTGTCAAGAAATATCCCTAGAAGCACTGATCCTATCATTCCCGCAAAAACCATAATTGCACCCATCCGCCCAGCGTCCACTTCATCACCCTACGGGTAAATAAAAACTCATTTCAGATTTTACAAGAACACAAAATATGCAACGAGTCGCCTGTGTAATTTTTGCTCTGATTATTGAATTTTCACATACATATAATTATGGTGTTGAGCGCAAGTTACATAATTAGTGCTAAATTTTATTTAAGTTACTGAAAGAGACACAAAAACGTACTTTTTCAGAATAACCATGCCTTTTTTTCAATGGTTTTGGTTTTTTCACCAACTAGTAGCCGCAAATAAGAAACTATAGTTCCATGTACAACTTTTTACATTTTAAAGGGTGTAAATTTTTAATGAGTGGCTGGGTGGCGCAGTTGCCTTGTCGTCGGCCTTCTGAGCTCAAGTCTGCGGGTTCGATCCCCGGCCCAGACACCGGATTTTCGGGATACAGAAAATCCTCAGCTGCCATGTCGTATGATTATGCGGCATGTAAAAGATCCCTGGAGTGCCTTATTGACTCTTGGCATTAAAAACTCTTGGCTATTGGCAAAATTAAATTCCTAGTGCACTTTAGCATCCAAATAAAGTCTCTGAGCTGCCATCCAGTGTGGCAGAAACTAGATGTTCAAATTAACATAACCAACGGTATTTCACCTATTGTGGTGGTCATGAAAGAGTGGATACCACCTCTGGAGAACGCACTAGGTCTGCTTATGGGCAAGACTGAATGTGCAGCTCATTGGAAATAAAAAAATATTTTAATGAAAAAAAATACAAAATTTAAACGAAATTAGACGAATTTTAAGTGATAAATTTTTTTGAAAAATCATATTTTTAAACTTTCACTTCTCAAAAACTATTCGACCGATTTCGCTCAAACTTTTTTTTTCATTTAAAATTACATAGTTGAAAAAACGTAGAAATTTGCATAGTATAAATAATGTTAAAAAAATAGTGTAAAACATTTTTGCATGGAATTGTTTGAATAATTTCATTTCATAATTGTACGCAAAAAAATTACGATAGACTTAAAAAGTTCCCGAAATGCAGCGGAATACACAAAAAGTGAATTGGAAGAAGGAAGTGTTTCCTCAGACCCACACGCTTCGAGTTAATACGTACTAAAGAGTACGTATATCTACTAATAGTGGATGTAAAACGAGGGTACCCAATGGCATTCGCGTCCATGAGATAATGGGCCGCTTGAGTCTGAAAGGCTCGTTGCACAATTGATACCATTGGCTAAAAAGAGAGAATTGCTCAATCACATATATGTGAACTATAATGCATCTACCATTACAATGATTCAATTCACTGGTATATAATATATGTTAACTCAATTCTATCAGGAGGTACCTTTAGATTGATGACGGTTGACATGGTCGGCAGCCTAGCCCTAAATTGGTAACTTTCGGGCGTAATCTGAACACGCCTACCTCAACAGAAACGCCCACTTCGATATGAAGAAGCCTATTTTGGATGGAACGCAGTAAACAGTTAACTTGCTATTTGTGGTTGTGACATAATTCTCCTCACGCTGTTGCTACTCATTCTCGATCACACGCAACGGGGACCTGTACACTCTCAACTTCTAATTATAACATAGGAGAGACCACGCACACAACCGGGATCTTAATACAGCTCTCCCGGCGTGTCACAAAACAGTAATGAATCAACTAGTTATATCCATGCATCGAATTCTATCCCAGATAAAATTCTGTTGAGGGACTATTGTAGCGTAGTTACCACTACAATTATTCGATTCCAATTAACTAGTATATAAACACATGTTAACTCGGTTCTACCAGGAGGTACCTTTTGATATAAGACGGTTGACATTGTCGGTAGCATAGCCCCACAAATCACAGTCCTGAAGGAGTTAAAGGACGTGAACTCCAAATAGTTAATATCTTACACTCATTGAATTGAATTTAAGAAATTTTCATTGAATTGAATTTAAGAAATTTCTTTTGATGCTTTTTCATAAATTTCTATAACCATTTAACTTCAAAAATCAAAAACAGTTTTACATTCATGGAAATCAAAAAGTTCGTGATCATTAGAAATTCATTAGAAAGGAACTCACATTTAATTTTATGCTATTTATAAATAGTTTATATTATGTATAATGAAAGCCATGAAATATTTTGGAATTTATTTCAGCTGCCATTTTGATTTCATTTCATTTGTTAGTATCAGATGAAAATTAAACTAATAGGCCATTAGTTAGGACTTTGAAAAACTCCTTGGTTATAATCTAGGGCCAAAAGTGCACTCCTTTCCCGAAGTTTTGATTAGAGATCAGATTATGGTAATAATCACCCGGTGTCCGTACTACTCTCCCCAACTTCCTTGAACTGCGAATATTTCAGGTTCATAAACTACAAATAAAATTAAATTTTAATTTAACTCTGTTTCATAGAATATTTATACATTTACCAACAGTCTTTTGAACAACTGTTTCAAATAGTTCTCAGTCTGTAGTCTCAACTGAAAAAATTATTATTTTAAAGTATTCCAATAATTTATAAACAAACTATATAAAGTTGAATTCAAAACCACCACTAATTATAGGCAGAAGATGGAAATACTACTTCATGAAATAATTATTAGTAAATAATCTTTTGAAGTGCTTCAATTGAATGACAGGTGTAATTTGAAATAAAACAAGATAGCATTAAAACTTGTTGAATTCTCATTTAAAGTTTTAATTTCATGTTGTTATTAGCATAAACTGGATTTAAAGCATAATAATTTATAAAAAATAATTGGGAGTTTTTAAATAATCTATAACATTTACAATTTTTTTTCAAAAAAAAGGAAAAAAAAGAGCCTTTAGTAATGGTAAAAGGAAAAACTATGATATTTTCCTTCAAACATAAAATGTTTAAGCTATACGAAAACAAAATGCCGAGCTTCTGAAAATAAACGTCAATTGAAAAACTTTTTCGTATATTTTCCGGTCGGTAAGGAAGGGTTAACTTCATAAAACTCTGGTTTCAGGATTAGTACGTATTACAGAAGATAATAAAGCTTATCCGTTTCACATTCCCCAAAGAAAAAAATTAGATCGAATTGTATTTATGGTTTAGTGACACAAGTGGTAGAATAAACTTCGATTCTGCAGACATAAACGATATTAAATATTGAGAGTATCAAAAACTGTGTTGTAAAATATCTGTAAGAAAAAAGGAGGATAATGTTAGTGGAGTGCCTTTGAATCGAAAGAGTTCTATTTATCTTATCTGAGCAAATCTCTCTAGAAGATTCTATAGCATTGGAGCATTAACTTATTCAACCATTTTGAAATGTTATTTCGTAAATAATGACTATAGGATAACTTAAAACACCTCAATTTTGAATTTAAGTACGCAATGTGCTCCAGAAATATCTTTAATGTTGTCTTTTAACTTAAGAAAAATATTTATTCAAAATTAGCATATACACTTACCGGGAAATGAATCAGGACCATCTCATTGAGAATAGTTGACATTGCAAAATAAGCTCCTGTAATAAGCCCTAAAACGCATACAAAAATATTTAACATTAATACAACCGTTAAGGAATAATCGATTCTTTAATGTTATCAATTAATTTTTTCTTATTTCTAATGGTACGGAAAATACAAAGCATTTAAGAACAAAACTACAAACGAATAACAAAGGAAATTAATTGTAAAGGTGACCCAAATCGCTACATTAAACCTTCTACGCCAGAGTCAGCAAAAAATGATGCATATCGACGGAGGTAGTCTCGATTTATTTCATCTGCCGAATTACAAAGAAAAAAGCAGAGTTCAAGTGTGGAGATGATCTGCCAGGCTGTCATGTCTAGTTAGAAGCTGGAACTGGACAGTATTCCAACACTATATCTTAGATTGAATTTGGAATTCCTAACCTTTATCTATTACTTACTTGCTATGCATCTCTCTGGAATGGAAAGATAGTGCAGAAAGATTTGTTTATGACATTCTGGAGATTTTATTGCGAGACAGTCGGCTTGTTTGTTCTTAAAAAGGCCAAATACCCAATACCCACCGACAAAACAGTTTCCTTTTCAAAGTCTACTACCGTAGTTAGTGCCAACATTAGGATATTTCTTTCAATGACGGGGAAGGAGACTAGGGGAACTACTGCCCTGCATTGTAGCATAGAAATTAGAAAAAATGATTAATCAAGCAAATCCATTCTCAAAAATCCACAAGTTTTTTAGAGCAATTCGGATATCTTTCGACTTTTCCTTCATTAACTATTCAAAATATAGATTCATAAGAAAAATAAAGTCAGAAAGACTCCTGATTCTGCAGTAATTAGATTTTCTAAAAGGGAGAGCCCTTCTTGTATACGTGAACTCACTCAGATTTTGGGTAATTCTTTAAGCATAACGCTTGAAAGCATCTATAAAGGTATCCCCCTTTAAAATGCATGTTCATACAGTGAACGAAAAAAAATATAAGGCTCACATTAAATTGAATGAAATTATGCTTTATTTTCATTTCACCTAAATGAATCTTTGATATGTCTCACTTCCTTTACATAATTTTGTAATATCACCTATACCTTATGGGGGATTATTTATCAACTATGTCAACCTTCCTCTATCAAACGATACCTCAAGGTGGAATCAAGTTAACATGTCTTACATACTAGGTAATTGGTGTTTAATAATCTTAGTGGTAGTCACGCCACAACCTCATGAAAAGTAAAATTTGGATTTCACAAAATTAACACAAACGAAAATATGGGGGGAAGGGGAAGTATAAGAGCATATTCTAAAGTTCTTAAAATTTTCATCAATAATCAAGAAAACCTTTTTTTTTTCAATCATTTAAATAAGCTGAGTGGTCATGGATCCTGAAAGCTCTCTTTGTCAAGATCCTGTTTGCATTAGTGTGCCATTATAATAAACTTCTCTGATTAGAAGTCCCCATAAGTTTTCGGTTGAATTAAGATCGGGACTCCTTGCTGGCCAATCAATTAAATTTACAGATTTAGCTTCAAATCAGGGTTTTGCTCTTTTACGAACGTGTATCAAAGCATCATCCTGTTGAAAAACATTGTCTCCTGAAGAAATCAGTGGTGCTTTTCAAGTAGCAAGCTTTCTCCCAACATATCAACATATTTATCGGAATTTATTTTACTGTTGATATAGATAATTGATTGGTTCTATTTACCTCAAAAGAACCTCAAACCGCCACTGAGCCACCACCATATTGATGTTTGCAAAGCACTTCTTGGGTCTTTCGCATACATTATACCGAAAATAATGAAAACCATCGGTTCCTTCAAGGTTGATCATATTTTCGTCAGAAAAGTTTATTTTTGATCGAGGGAAATATATTTTTTGGCAAAGTCAACTCTTCTTCTCTTATGTTGATTAGTGAACGTGAAACTAATTTTACATAAAGATGAAGATGTTTATTAAAAATATTTTGAACAGTCCTTGATGAACATGGTAAATTCAAATTTTGTTTAACTTCATTTTTTCTGGGACAAGCTCTCCTGACAATCATTCTTTTCTGTTGACGAGTGCAAATTTCTGGTTTCCTAGTTCGTTTTTTCATTCCATACATTCTAGGATTGTTTAGGAAATTATAAACTACTGTTTTTGATTTCTTGATTCTTTTTGAAATTTCCCGTCCACTTAATCCATATTTTCGAAAAACAACACAATTTCCCCTTTTTCAGAGTCAGAAAGATGAGTTTTATTGGGCATTATTCAAATAAAAGTCAACGAGTGCGAATTTTTTTTATCAAAAACCAATCTCTCAATCCTAGTTGCCATTTTTTATTTTTAAATATGCAAATTTTTCAATAGTTGGTGAAGAAAAAGCAATGACCTTATACTTTTTTTTTCCAATATCATTTGTATTTAAATATCAAAAAGTAAATTTAAACAGGTTTATATTTGAAATTTTTAATTGGTTTACACAAAAAAATAATTTAACTCCTATTTTTACTTTAAAAAATTGCTCACGATTCCGTAAATAAGAGTTTTTGAACTGGTGATTTTTTGTATATCTTAATACTTTTTTTCCCTCACTGTAAATGAAGAAGGGAGCAATGCGGCTAGTAGAAAGCTGGACTTTTTTTTTTGAAGTGTGCATAATTGTATATAATATATAACAGGGACACCTGTAACTTACATGTGGCCGGGAGCCACAATTAAAAATACAAATCAAATGGCGGGTCGCAACTTTATCAAAATTTTTTGTAGGACTCTTTTATGTTTGAAGGAACATTAAATATTACTGTCAGAGTTTTATCAAGTTGTACAAAACAAAAGTATTGAATTACAAATTAAAATAAGAAGTAGATTTTTAAAAATATTAAATTGTTATTAATAATATTTTTAAAAATATTAAACAAATAATAAAAATTCGGGCTACAACAACTTTCAAGTGCGCACCTATGTATTAAACAATTAATGTGCAACAGATATCTAATTGTTAAGGTATTAAAACTAACATAGTAGCACACAAACTATTCAATGAGAAAATTGAGCTTTGTCTGCTGCAGCTACCAGAGAATAGATATTTACATTTTAAATTTAAAATTTACAAATGTGTGTTTAAATATTTTTATCCAAAATGAGTGCTTTCGAAAAGTTAAATTGGAGAATTTCTTCGAGAAAATTTCTGATACGCACATGCTATATCATATTCCCAAAATACGAAAAATATTAAATAAAAAAGAGCAACAAACACGATTATTTTTGTATTTGAATAAATATTTTCTTGGATTCAAAACCTGAAAAATAAATTTCTTTGCACCGTTAGTATGTTAAATTTCACAGAAACGAAGAAACTAGGTTTTTATTAACGAGAAAAGTATTTTAAACCCATATAGATTTTTTGCGAAAATTGTTCGCAAAAAAATGACAACTAACATATTTTAGTTCGCGGGCCACAAGAAAAGGCTTCGCGGGCCGGATGCGGCCCTCGGGCCACAAGTTGGAAACTCCTGATACATAACATAAAAATCCAGAACCTAAAATAAATATATATATGATATAAGTCCTGTCATTCTTTTGAGTGTACCAACACGAACCACAAAGGAAGACCTTTTCACAGAGAGTATAAATTTATTTCAACATTTATTAAAATTATATTTTTTACTACACAGATTTACTATTTCGTATTATTAGAAACTCGGTGAGTCAACTCATTTCTAACGATGATCGTAACAAATTTCGTACAAAGATGAAGTTTTGATTAAGACACCAAAATAGAAACGCGAGATTCAGAAATATAGTCTCAGTTCATAAACATTGAAATTAAGATGAACTTTGAAAACGCTTACGTTTTTCTTAAAATACCTTAAGAAAATAATTTATGCATCAAAATATGAATCAAACTTAAACGTATGAATCAAACCACAAGAATAAAAAATTATTGTTATTTATTAAACGCAAACACAAAGTCATGAATGGAAAAAAACAGAAATAAATTCAAATTCCTTTTTAAGATAATAATACAGGGTGTTCCAAAATTCTCTTTACAACTTAAAAAATTCATAACTTCGAAAATAAACAAGATATTTATATTATGTTTCTTGCATGCGTTACTGCAACTACTAAAGTTTTGTTTAGTACACTTCAACATGCGCACCATTGGTGACCCTAAGCACTTCCAATCTGTAATCAATTTCAAGCCAGGTGATGTAAAGATAATTTTAGACCACCCTGTATAATAGAGGAAAATCTTGGGGAATGTAATGCACGCTTTCAAATCGTTTTGCGTTTTTGGAAGAAAAAAATACAACGCTACATAGGCAAGGAGATGTTTCTGCATACTGTTCTGCTATATGGAGGAAATTCCATAATTTTCAGATATGTATGGGGAAATTCCTATTGCATCTCAAAACAATATTAAGAAAGAGGTGATTTTTAAAAACGTCACCTTTTAAATAAGCGTGTCGGTTAATAATATTAGCAATAGTCTTAAAACTTCTAACTACAAAATTATTCCTAAATACTTTTTTCAATATCAACAGCATTTCTAACGATGATCGTAACAAATTTCGGTCAAAGATGAAATTTTGATTAAGACTCCAATATAGTAACGTGAGATTCAAAAATATGGTCTCAGTTCATAAATATTGAAATTAGGATGAACTTTGAAAACGCTTACGTTTTTCTTAAAATACCTTAAGAAAATAATTCACTTTTAAGAAAATTATTTACCTCACTCATTAAAATTTCCTCTTAAAAAGTGATTCACAGTTTAAATACTTGATAAAATATAAATATTCTTACCATAAGCAATGAGTAGTAAGACAAAAGGACCATTTCTGAATAGACGTTTTAAAGAAGCTCCATATTCAGGTCCTTCTCTGTGTTTAGTTGCCTGTGCTATACTCGGATATAATTTAGGTTTCTCTTCGAACACTATATAAGAAAAAAGAAGAAGAAAATAAATTGTAGGTAAAACCATAGAGCTGAAGTAGAAGTAGAACAAGTAAGCTGTTATATTTCCCCGATCTCTCTACGTTCCAAACATCATAGTCCCCTCAGTCACGTGCTCCCTCCCTTTCGGTAATTTTTTGCGTCCCTCAACAATTGAGATGAGTTCTCTTTTCTGGTGGCTTCGGGTTTTTTTACTTATATTTTACAACCGGCATTGAACAGCAGACCCAAATTTATGGGTTAACGACTAGTAATGTTCAACTACTTAGCCTTGTAATCTTGAACCTAATCCAGAAGACAAGAGAACTCCTAGATCGATTATTGGGAGACTTTTGGTGGGGACTTTTGATGGAACTAAACCGCATTTGCATTGCATGGAGAGAAAGACCGCGAGAACCTCCCACAGTTAGCCTGACGGCAAGGGGACTCCAACCCATGAACCGTCTACCAGTGAGTATATTTCACGTCAGCACTATGATCGAATGCGGAATTCCTATCGACGGGATTCGAACCCGGAACACTCTATCCCCTGAGCCATCGCGGCTCTAAAACTGGAATGGACTCTAATGCTGGAAAATTAAAAGCTTCAGGTATTTTAAGATTAGCGGAACAGTAAACTATTGGATCATTTTTCGAAAAGATTTCGCTTGATAAAAAACCGTTTTAGAATTCTAATTTTTTAATATGTAAAAACTGTATAAAATTATTAAAAGTTTTACTAAATTGAGAAAATTTTAATTTTCGAATGTTCTTAAAAATGGTAGAATCGTATCTCGTGAGTACTTAAGTTTTACAAAAAGTTTAAAATTTTTAATTTATTCCCGTAATTTACACTAGCCAAACAAGTGTCCGTATTTATAATTGAGTTTAAAAATCAAAGTTTTTTTCCATTTAAACTTGAAAATTGTAAAATTGTCAAAAAATCTACGATTTAATTAAATAATAAAAACGTAACTTTTGTTAATACTTATTTCAATAACAATTTCATCTTATAATGTTTTACATAATTAGAAAAAAAAACTATAAATAATTCAACATTTTTATTTTACTTTTTTTATTAATTATTATTTTGGTACATAATTTTAAAGTATGTATAACATTTTAGAGTTAATCTTAGGGAGTTTTTAGTTGCAAGAAACGAGAGTTTAAATTTTAATCCAACATTACAATCAATAGTATAACATCTTGTAAAATCATGAATATCAGTCCAGGTATTGAGAAATTTTCAAAGGATTTTAAACATGTCATGAAATCCAAAAATAAAATAAAAATTTAAAGAAAGAAAAAGATGCTGCATCGCATTAAAAAAATCCCTTACGGGATATACATATTTTTATATTTCATATTTTAACTAAACATATTTAAAAAAATAAGATTCATAAATCTCCCTTACCAAAAACAATTATGAATAAAATGATGATGTTGACTATGACTTGAGGATAGGCCATGCAACCCAAACCTTCAGTTATGCTTGATGTATTGTTGCAATCGTTTGTTAAAGCTAAAGGAGTGAAGATAAAACCGATGGCAATACCTAGCTATGAAAAAGTAAACTCATCTGAACACATATTAAAAAAACATATTAAGATTAAATTTTTAAAACATGCAATCGTAAAACAACATTAAAACCAGTGTCATTATACTACAAAATACTTAATGTACAATTATTTATTAAGTGGTATTTAAGAATGAATCTATTTTTTTTTTTTTTTTTTTTTTTTTTGGTTTAATCCGGTTAATGAAAATTTTGGAAAATAGGGTCGATTATGTAAAATTCCTGTTTGGGCATGACTACTTTATTATTAAGTATCTTATTCACTTCCTTTAATATTTTAGACCAAAGCTAATGTAAGGCTTTCAATACCTAATTAAAAATTTCATTCTCTTCAAAAATACATAAATATGAAATAACAGTCGACATGTTTTTCAAGCGCTCAAAAATAGGCGACCATTTTCAAGACTTGCCAAACGTGAATGAGAGAAAAGAAAAATGAATTGAATTATAAAACAAATCTTTGACAACGAAAAATAAAGGCAAGAAACAAACCTAGAGAAAACCACAGAAACCGAGAGAAAAAAAAGATGAAAAACAGAACAAAAAGGACCACTGAATTGCCCATCTCGGCTACTGTGGCTTTTTTTTTTTTCTTGGTTTTTTGTTCTGATTTTCATCTTTTTCGAATAAGTTGAAGAGTTTATTTAGATAAAATGAAATAAAAATTTTAAAAAACTACCTGAATAGGTAATAATTAAATTGAAAATACTATTGCTATTACAGAACAACTAATAATAACTTTTAAGGGAAATAGTACATAAAGGATTTGTTATTGAGACAATTTCTTTTTCAATAATTTTGAAATCTCAATTTTTCCTATTTATATTAACTCTTTAATTAGTTATTTAAAAAACACTTCCAAACCAATCCTAATTCTTATTTTCATCGAAATTCCTCAATAAAACCCTTTCATTTTAAAATTTGTTTATAAAAGTTTAAATATTTTATTGGTGGAACAAGTTTTACAAACTTCTCCAAATCACACTGTAAGTATACACGAATACAGTCATACGAAATGCTCCTTAATATTTCGATGTAACAAAATAAACTAAGTTTTATATTTAAAAATGTTTGGAAAATATTTTAAGGCAAATAAAGTTATATAAAGCAATTTAAAGCTTTTAAAAAGATTTAACGCAAAGATGGAATAATACAAAATATGAATTCTATACTTCAAAGTACTTGCATTTATCAAACCACACGAGATTTATCTCAATAACAATAAGAAAGAATATTAATTTAAGACATAAGAAATAACATGAATTAAAAGACGTTTCGATATTGCTCTAATTACTCCTAAAACTAAAGATTAAAATTTTCTTGATAATTTCAAACGTCATATTTAAATTTCTATAACTTTTGGTGAATGGTTAGATTTTTTTAATAGGTTAAAAATGCCATTTGTGAACTAAATGCCGTAAAGCTAAACTACGCAACTAGAAAGGAGGAAGTAATAAAAAAACGAAAATAGTCAATATTTATTCATAAAACCATGCTGAGAGAACGTGATTTTACTTCATGGAACATTTCAGCTGCAAAACATAGTTGTAAACAGCTGCTGAAACAAAAGGAAATCAATCACCTTTTGTCGAAAGAAAATTTTTGAGGAATTTTGAATATTTTACAATGATGAAGCTCAAATATCAACCAATTTTTTGTTTCTAATTTTATTTTTGTATATTTAAAAGTAAGAGGTAGAGAAACTTAGACTAATTTTAAAGTAACAATCAAATGAAAAGTTTATTATAAGAAAGTTCTGATATTTTTGGGTATTCAAGAAAATTAATTAACTAACAAGAATATCAGGCCATCATGATGGGTAGTAACGCATATCAAAGCTTGGGTTGAGATTTCTCATGCTATAGAATAAGTGTCTGATCAGATTGCACTAATTCCGATCGTGTTTTAGTAGTTTTCAAGCAATTTCAGGAGTCCACTAAGCAAGAGGTGGACTACGCAAGGTGGTGGATACGCGGACTACGCAAGTTCCCCATGCATGACTAAGAATTAGGGGAATGTGGTGATGAGACAAAGATGTAAGTCTGCATACAATATAAGTCTACAATGCACTACAACTCTACAATGTAAGTCTGCATATGCGCTATTATTGTCATCGGATTATCATTGTAGTGCATCTACCACTACAAAAATACAGCTCCAATTCACTAGTACATGGATGGTCCATATTGAACAGTTGACTTGCTACTTGTGACTGTGACATTATCCTCCACACACTGTTGCTTCTCAATCTCGATCACACACAACGTCGGCCTGTATACAATCGACCGCTAATGGCTACACGAGAGCAACCACAAACGTGAACTTAATACAGTTCTCACGATCAGCACTCAAAAGTACGGTGATCTTAATACAGCTCTCCCGGTTTCTCACTAAACAGCAATGAATCAACTAGTGGTGTCTCATTCATCGAATTCTATCACAGATAAAATAGTTTTGTAGTACCACTACAAAAATACAATTCCAATTCCAGCACATAAGACATGTTAACTCGATTCTATGTTGGGGTACCTTTTCATTGATGAAGGTTGACATTGTCGTTAACTATGATCACCTCAATCATTAAGGATGAATCTCTAATTGTCACCTATAGCCCATTAATTCAGCTTTAGTGCTATGTTAACAATCAAATTAAAGTTAGCTTTTAAAAAAAATAGTATCAGTAGGAAGCTGTTTGCAAGACTCACATTAATAATTATCTGATTTATTGCTCTGACAGGGAAAAACTAATTGCTGCATATACAGCTGATTTCAACATATTTCAAACTTCGGCTTTTCTTCAAAATATCACTTGAAATTTTCGTCCACTAAACAGTTCTCAAAATATAATTCAAAGTTTAAAACACAATTTTTCGTGATGATTTCTCTCCCCTATAGTTATAGCTTTGTTAATTTTAATTGAAATATTTCATAAGCTCGTGCTTTTAGTTTTAACTTACGATCGAAGGATCGGGTTTTCACAAGCTAAGTTGAAATCGTAGTGGTTTGAGAAACTTCACTTTATAATTAATTAATACAAAAGATAATCGGAGTTGCGAAATCAGACACAAAAACATACTATCTCCAAAAGTTAAGTTATCATTATTTTCAAAGAATTTGTCAATCAATTTCGGATTTTAGCATTCAAAACTACGCAGTTTAATAAAGAATAAAAGTCTGTATATCTGTTTAATTGCAATTATACTGCGTATAAGTATTTTATTCTAGATATAGAGCAAAAAATAACATTTAAGGACAACTGCCCTAACTGCTGTTCTAAACTATTAGGCAAACTACTAAACTATTAGACAAAGAGCAATAATAGCTAAAACAGCAACTCCCCACCCTAAAACATATTACATTCGAAAGCAGAGCTAGCTGGTCACCTAAGGAGGTTATATATATAAGAATTTAGTTTCTGTTTATTATTAAGTCTTATTTTTTTCAAGCGTAATTTTTTTTAGTCACTTATCTTTCCTCAGTCTTTCCAATAAAACAAGTTCTGATGTTTTAATCTAATCTTTTTCGTTATTCATTCGCCAAGCTTTAACAACATTTCTTTTAATTCTAAAAACATTTTTGGGAGCAGTAATTAGAAGTGGCACCTTCCATTTAAAATAATAGTAATAATACCTGATTTCCAAAGACACCCATAGCACATGCTAATCCTACTTCATTTGCTCCAAACCAGACACCTGCTATGAAGGGAGGTAAACTCAAAACAAATACTTGCCCCATGGCATATATTGTTTGGCAAACCATAACATAAACATAGCGATCAGGTGAGAGAGTATAGCATTGCACTACTGAACCTGTGAATTAAAAAAATACTCCTCTTACTTACATTAGAAAAACTTCGTTTTATAGTCTAGCAATCACGAGTTGAGCTTACAGTGAGATTGCCTTAAGTCCAGGTCTCATTTTGTGATGGCTAGACTATTATTATATAGGTATTATTATATAGACAAACTTGAATATCAGATAATTTACGTCATATAGATTAATATTTGTATAAAAACATATGATGAAAAACGCCATCGTACGTAGCTAGAGAAGCTTCTCTAATAGGGACTCGCTGTTCGTGAACATTTTAGCATTGTACTTTTATATATATAAGCCATCTTAATTTTAAGTTTTTTAATAATTATTGCGAAAATTGCATTCAACAGAAATAGATATTTTATCAAAATTTAATGATGTGGTAGACTAGCTTTGCGAATTCGGCCAGTAAGTCACCAAATTAATGAACTACTAAAAAACTAAGAACTACTGTAAAAGCTATTTTGCTTATAACTAACTGCTGACGCTGACGTCATAGGTCACATGAGTAATTCGACATCTTCTCCTTCTTGAAGTGTTGTTGTTGTTGACGTATGCCTGTTTAGGCAGAGGGGGTGCGATTGTTCTTCTTTTTCCAGTGGCGTCATCTATGGCCAAGAATTCGACTTCAGCTACACCCATTACGTCACACCCGTTTATAGAGCAGACCCATTCATACATCCATTCATCCACAGATCGTAATTTTGACCTGAATCAGAGAATCTTCATATTNGTATTGATTTGTTATGGGAACATGGAGGAATTTGAGACTCGACAGATTTAACATGCATCAGTCATCACTTTACTACACGGGGAGTTTTCGGCCGGCGGGGTTCGAACCCACGAACTCTCGGAGATGCCCTACCGACCAGGCTATTCCGGCCTCTCTTCTTGAAGTGCATGTACCTAATTAATACAAAATAATGAAAAATATGTTTAATAAAAATTCTACGAAAAAGGGGTCATGAGAGCGCCTTTCTTTTTCCTGTTATATGTTAATGTATGCTGTTAAAATACGTAAAGTCATCAAGCAATAGAAAGGAGAATTTGGGAGAAAATGTGAGAAAAAAACAAGGCTAGATTCGTTAGTTTTAACCAAAAATATAAAAGATATAAATATATATATTTTTTAAAGTTTTACAAGGTAATTAGAAATATATCTACACTTACCTAAAAAATTTAATACTCCTCCAAGTACGAGAGTTATCCGTAACCCTTTTGTGTCCATCAGATACATTACAGGAAAGACCAGCGGCAAAAACGCTACCATATATACAACTGAAGCCCAGTTCACATCATTTAAAGATACACCATAGTAGCAAGATATGATATCAGCTACAACTGTGTACTGGTATTGTGGTACACCGTTCATCATTGAACACAACATGAACACAAACAGCATGAGAAATCTCCGCTTGTAAAGTTTAATGGATGCAAAACCTGCTGATTTCTCGAATTGTTTATCAGGATAAAGAGCTGTCTTTTCACTGTGATCGGGATAAACTTTGTGGATGGTCATATTGTTCACTATGGTGTCGCTGCTAAGATTCTTGTAAAAGTTAGAAGATAAATTACATTCTTTGGTGGAGTCCGTTCCGTAATGCTTTCTCATTGTACTCGTAGACGGGGAAGTATTTCTGGAAGAAAATTCAAGAAATTAATTTATAATGCTTAAAGAAAGACAATTTTTAGCTTTAAATAATTTTAGAATGTTTAACCCTAAAAAAAATTAAATAATCATTTGTAACAAACCAATACCCTGTGGTGCCACCTATGTCCCCACCACCGAGACTCAGTTCAAGTTCGGATATGAAACCTTAAACATGACTTGACTTTTCCCCTTTCCCCGAGTTTTCTTAAATTTTAATTCTTTTTACTTTTGTTCAAATGTAATTTATGTTTGTATCTGTGGTTATTAATTAAATTTCTTTATTAAGTGTACTTTTAGTCACTTTTGTCCTAATTTGCAATTAATTTGAGCTAGCCGATATTCCTTCACACTACACATTTAAATATTTTCTGACATAAAATAGTATTAGAAATATAAGTTTTAAAATATACAGAGAAGCATAAAATATGCTACAGATTATATTATGTTTAAATGTTCCTATTGGAAAAACTATTTAAATAGTAAAAAATAGTTAACGCTTTTTTAATGGATGCAACACGTGTTTATATATTTAGAAAAAATTTGCTAACTGGTTAGCAGAACAAGTTTTTTTTTTTAATTTTTTTTTTGCTTTATTTTTCTAGGTATCATCCGCTTTAATAACACAGTTGCTGAAAATGCAGTTATCTAATTAAATTTAGATGTATTGTAAAACTAATTAAATTATAGATTTCAGCGAAATTTTTGAACTAAATATAAACTTGCTTAAAAAATATTAGATTAGAAAAATATTATAAAACTGTTTCATATTAATAAATAAATGAATGATATTAAAATATCATTCACTTACTGATTCAGAAGATGATATATGAGAAGATCACGTTTTGAAATCATCAAGGAATAATCTGATGATTTTAAAACGTTATCGTATTATGAAAATGTCTAATCTAAGTTATTCATGAGAACTTTAAAAGTGAAACTTTTTATATTACCAAATATAGGTGTTTCATATTAAGCAAAGAAAATACAAGTGTTTTCAAATATTACGGATTAAACAAGAGATTCAAAAGAAATTCCAGTGTGAGTGAATTTTATGAATAATCATAGTTCCTTAAAGCCAAATCTAAAAATATTTTTTGACAATTATTCAAAGTATTTCAAATTAAGTAGGGGGACAAAACACGGATATAAATAACATAGGGAATTCAAAAATCTTGATTTATAATGCGTATAATCTTTTATTGCTTCTAAAAATAAATATTTGGATTATCAGAAAACAATTTTAATAATTCTAAAAGCTTGTAATAAACTGTTTGTAATGTAATAAATTGCTTTTCAATACAGCTGAAAGACTTGGATGAATATAATGATTAACCGCGTGTCCACTTTTTCAATCAGTGAAAAACTCCATGCCTTCATGTAAGTAATAAGATGTTTCTGTTCATTCTACTCTTATTTTGAAGAGTCCCGCAGAGGACTGATCGTAAAGACACGGTTCCAGTAGAACACCGAAGTCCAGCATCACTGACTGCGATCAGTAAGCGGGTGGATGACCATTTTGATCAACCTGCGGTCCTCGTTAAACTGTTCTGTCGTAAAATGCGAGAAATCACGCAAGTCTTTGGGCTTCCAAAGTGGAAAAGCCCTCCCTTCTGCAGAAGATCAAAATTGTAATGGCATGTTTTCGAATCCTCCTCAGGGATTTTTCCCAAACTGCCGCCTATAGCCCATTGAACAACTTTAGTGGGACATAAAGTGCCCACCTATTTTATTTAGTGGAAAAATACTAAGAACTTGAATATAAAAATATCAATTTCAAAATGAAATCCGTATCTTATTACTACCATATGTAAAATATAGAAAGACCGGACTGTGTAGTGATCAGGGATCTGACCTAACAGAATGGTCCTGGGTTCAAATTGTGGACAAGGCCTGGATGTTCTTTCATTCTCTGTTCTGTCTGTCCTTACTGTGGGAACAACGTTGGCCCACCTAATATGGTGCCAATCGGGCGAATGGGCGAAAACAAAAATAAAGACACTGGTTTACTCTTGAATATAATACAGTGAAACCTGTAAAGTTGACCACCTCTATTATCAAGAACCAAATTTATCCTATATATTAAGCGATGGCGAAACCTTCATGAACTACTCACCTATCAATCTTGCATGTCGATAGTTGATGCCAAATTTCCCTAGCAGTGTTAGTGAACACTATTTTAAAACCTTCGAAAAAGTTGACAAAAAAAACTATTTCAGGAATTTTTCAATAATTTTACGCTGTGTATCAAAATTTCCTTCATTTGGTGAAATAGTATTACAAGCTAACTATATTATTTTAATTAATATGGAAAGATATATACTAAAATTAAATTTTAAAAAAAACTAAATAAAAAATTTTTTTATCCTCTCCCATAAGCTGGCCATCTGTCTAAGTTGACCAATTTAGTTGTCCGACGTAACGAACATAAACTGCGCAGTGGAGGATAAATAATAAAGATGTCACTATTTTCGGGTTACTAAGCTGCGAAGTATGGGAAAATACGAAAGATTTTATTACGTTTGGACTACTAAATGATTAAATTTCTTGTTTATGGTAACCCGTGCTGAGGCCTTCTCTCTTCTAGGAGGTATTGGGTAAACCCTCTAAAAAATGGGAAGAATAGTATCGTGAAAATACGTATTTCTAAGAAATTAGAAAAATACTGTTGGAGAATTTTATAAAAATTATTATAGGAAGAGAGTAAAAATCAATAGTTTTAAGTAAATGGACATCATAATGTACTGTAATGCAAGTTTTTTGTGGGATGAATGAATTTGACAACATTCTAACAAGCTGGAGCACTATGTGATTCCACGTCTGATAACAACACAAGTATCTATCGTTTCTTGACAGCTATAAGCAAAATTTATCGTTTTATTATTGCCTTAAGTAAAGTACGTCAATCACAATTCAGACCAGACCACTTTTCGATTATCTAGAATCCTCAAATTTCTTTTAAAGATGTGTGGTGGATGATAATACAAGTTTTTATTCATTTTATGACTACTAAAAATTTATCGCCATATTATCTAACAATATCTCTCTTCCATCCAAACTTTTCCGACTAACTAGTGTACTCAAATTTCAACTGGAGCTTTGTGTCTAATACAAATTACAATTGTTTCCTAGATGATTAAAGCAAAATGTATCCCCAAAGATTTCGGTTATTTTCCTACAGTAAGAAACTATAATGAAGAAAAATTTTTAAAAAATTAAAAAACTACGGTCTGCAAGTAAACTAAAAATGAGAAACTAATTTTATTTTTAGTCTACCCAGAACCGAAAAACGTAGGTCTCATCACTTGTATCACCAACAAAAATTCCCCTTCCCGTCTATCGAAAGTTATGTTCCCAGCGTTTTTCGTTTTAAGACTAAGTATAAAAAAAATTCCCTTTTTTAGTCTACTTAAAAAAAAATGTAGATTTAAAATTTAATTTTTTTTTCAACAAAAAAAAGTTGTTAGACATGCTTGTAATTTATTGAAAGTTAAAAACAGTTAATAAAACCACTATTTATTTATCAAACTGAGATTGATTATCAAACAACAAAAGGCAAATTTTTATTATCAAACTGAGATTGATTATTAGACTACAAAAGACAAATTTTCTAATAACAAAATTCAATTATTATTATTTAAAATTTATCTTGATCTGTCGTATTTAATAATTTTTTATTAATGCATTTAAATTTTTTTAAGGTTAAATAGATTTTAAACAAATCATATATGATGAAAACACTATAACTAGTTTTAGAGATTTCGTAGGAATAAACACATAAATTTTATTTATTTGTTTTCAATAATCCTGAGTCTTAAAGTTTTTCGTATCTTTAAACTTCAAATGATCAACATTGAATTAAAAATGTTTACTACTTTTCAGAAATAATGCGAAAATTTAGAAAATTAGTTTTAAACTTAACTAGACTTAAGTTAAAATAGTAAACACCTTCATAACTAAACTGTGATTTACTATACAGTTTGAAATTAAGAATTTTATAGCATTTTAAATCTGAAATATCCAATTAATATTATAACAAAGTAAATAAAAATATAAAACTGTTTTAAATGTTTAAATATATAAAGTTTTTCACTATAATAATTACCTTAAATTTAAAATATCTTTAAAATATGTATGAATTTATATGGGTAATATTTTTTCGTTAACATTTTGTCCCATTATAAGTTTGAAAATTATGTTTTTAAAATCAACTTTTATGCATAATAGTTATCTCCATTTTCTACGATTGTCTTTGGTTGATAAGCATCTTGTTTTACAAATAGAATTAAAGCATTTTATTTCATAAACTAACACAATATTTAGAATAACACAGCTTATGAAATAACATTAAACATTATAAACTGAAAATCAATATTGTGAGTTTCGTACTTTCTGACAAAAAGAGTTAACACATTTTATTTCATAAAATAAAACAAAATTTAGAATAACACAGCACATAGAATAACACGAAGCATTTTGTACTGCAAAAGCAATATTGTAAATTTAATGTTTTGCCTTAAAAGCTTTTAAACAGTGTTTGATATTTTGTATAGCTATTCAAACAAGTATTTGTGTAAAAAATTTACAAAAAGAAATCTATTTTTAATTATTTATTACATAAAATACGATGTTTCACTACTGAAATTGAAATTATGTAATCATATCTTACAGCTACTTGTAAATTAAAGATTCACACACAGAAAAATGACATTATTAATTCCAACTGATATTTTAAAAAGAAACATATTTTTAACTTACCAATACACTTAAATTCTAGCTTATTTATTACTTTAGAAAAAGATATTTTTGCTATTTTAGCTTTCCAATACATACTCACATTCGCCGTGATTTTGTTTAGTTTATCATTTCGTTAATGAAAGAGCCAAAATAAATCGCCAATTGAAACAGAAAGCTAACATAACAGGCCGCTTTTGTGGGAAATGAAACAGGCCAGTTTACCATGTTTACAGTTTAATCTCACTTTTTAAA